GCCCAAATTGTTTAAACAGGCGGCTCCGAATCAGGAGACGCTTCCAGAACCACCTTCTCTGGATCCGGATGTCGAGTTACTTATTGATTCCTTCTTATCTGAAAACGAAAATATATTGCATGAGGACGCTTGGATTGTCGATGATGATATAGGCAATTCGAATTCAGCAACGCATAGTGAAGATGCGGCGTCCCTACAGGAATCTGTGGAACCAATGAGCCAACCTACGGTCATGGAGACAAATCAGGTGGCTCCCCTACTCTCCGGAGCCTTGCTAGCTCCGGGAGGCGCTGAATTAACCGGTACAACGCCTCTAAGCCTTTTCGAGTCAGTGCTGTCAGAATCCAGCCATACTGCTCAAGCAGTCTCATTAGAGGAGTGGTTGTCGGGCGAGGAAGCCGCAGATTTGGTGGAGGCGCTGCAGCCAATGCCTTCGCCTGGAGCGTTTCCTCCAGTGCCTAGTAGTATTGAACCAGCCGAAGAGGCGACAAAAAGCCACGCAGGACTATCTGGCACCATGTCAGAAGGCACAATGCACTCAGGACCACTTTCGAGTTCTGAGCCGTTACAAAGTGATTCTCCCCGCGAGGTAAGGAGGGTTGGCCAATGCATTAACTCAAAGGTTGTCCCAAAAATTGCCGCTAGCCATGCAGTGGCATGAAGCTCCTCATGCTTTTGTTGTAATGAAGGGTGGATTGCTGTGTGGCAAATGCGTGCTGTGGAATAGCGATCAGGAGAGGAGTGGCTTCGAATACCTACTGCTGGATTTTCGATGCTCTCGGAGCAAGGCCTGGCACCACCTATCCTAGGACCACACCACCTTCGAAATGCTTTGCCATCAACTACCTCCACTAGTGACACACGCATTCTTTCGCAGGCATCAAACATGTTAGGATTGTCTGTTGCTCGAAATGTTTTGTCATTCACTACCTTCACTCGTGACCCACACATTCTTGCGCCTGGGGGTTCGATTCAGGCAAGCGAATCAGCTCGTCAGGTGAGTGTCTCCCTTATCATTACGCCCGAGGATCAAGCGTAGCTTTCTGACCTGGAATTGTTGCTAACTAGTTGGCTTTTCCCCTAGCTTGCGCCCGAACTAACCTGCTAACGGTTGCGATCTTGCTAGAAAATTGCAGTGGGGATGGAGGAATTGCTGTCAGTGTGGTATGCTTTTCCCAGTCCCTATCCCACCGGGCTCAGTTGGCAATCGACGATCTGTTTTCTTCTCTTGGATGGCTTGACAAAATGCTAAGGGGTGTTCCTGATCAAGTCCTCGCGACGCATCCATTTTACCGTATCCCCGGAGTGAAGCAAAGCTTCAGAAGATGCTTTTGCAAAGAGAATGCTGTCTCATCTAGTTTGAGTCACGTAAGCTTAGTCCCGTTGCTTTCGGAATGCAGGCTTCTCCTGAAGAAGCCGGTGCTTTCCAACGAAGAGACTGAAGCCCTTTTGGGGTACATGGAGCGTCTCTGCGGATACGCATCCAGGCTCCTGCCGACTCGGGCTCCCCCTACATTAAAGGTGTTTTCTGTTGAAGTATTGGGGAAGGCGTTTGTTGTCCTGGATACGCTGCACTGTGCAGCAGAAGTGCTTGGGCAGAGTTCCAAAAAGGAACAGTGGTGGCCCGACATAGTCAGTCACATAGAAAATGCAAGGTACATGCAGCATGTCCAAAAAACAAGAAAAAGTATGGGAGCCTGGAGTAACGCGATTTTAAATGGGCTAGACACTGCTCTAGAATTCTACAGGATGGGGGAAAGGCCTCCTTTGCGTCTTGTCCTTGGATTAAAGCTAGCCCTTTTTCTATCGCCCAAGTCGACGAGGCTCAATACTAGTAAGTGGGACCCTTGGAGAGGAGACGCTCTTGAATGGCTCCAACTGATCAAGCCGAGTATACAGGCAAGCGGTCAGTGAACAGAGCAGTCAACATGCTGCTGGTTATGAAGCAAGTTCGTCAACGCAGAGATGAGTCTCTTGCCTCACATTCGCTGCAGCCAGAAGAGCCTCATTTGCGAAGCTAAGGAATCGAGCAAGCAATACGAGCGCAGAATGCTGTGTCCAGATTCCACTTGTCTGGAAAATTTTCTTCTGCGCAATGCAGTTGTGATTGTAGAAATTTTAGTCCACACACCAGCGACATTGGCGCAGGGCTTGTGGCTCGGAATTACTGGAGGACGAATCCTTATGAAACAAAAAGGGAGTATATTCGTGCCAGCAGATGAATCTGAGCTCGCTCGTGATAAGTTTTCAAGGGCGCAGGGGCTAGCGAAAGATCCGTATTCGGTTCTGACACCGTTCCTAACCTGGATGGACAACTATAGGCAAATCCACTTAAGGGCGCCAGCAGAGAATCGGAACAGCTAACACTTGGATTCTGATGAGACTGCCTTCTGTTTTAACAGAGCTAGAGGGGAGCCAGCAATAAGCGTTGAGCTCCTCTGCAGAACTGGCCACAACGCCCCTCACGGAGGCTCCAATTTATGCCTTCTTTTCAACGCGTCGGTACCGTTTTGCTAATATATATTTGTTTATATGTTTCAGTCATATGGAAAGTTAAGAACATGCTGTGAAGAATGTCTGGCACGTCTGTCGCGTGGCCAGACACATATATTGGATTGGCGCTGTCTTGAGGCACCAGCGGTCGACGACCAGTACTGCTGCAAAACTTCCACGTAATGTACAATGTTTTGTTTTAGCCTTTTCTTAGCATTCTTCCATGTTCATGCCTTTCCCACTCCCAGAATTATCGAAGTTGCCCTCGCGCATCAATATCTGATGCAGTTGTTGGCATATCCACCTGCACTCCGGCACCGCTGGAACGCCACAATAGGTCAATTCCATGTTCGAATGCATTAACTCAAATTTTAAGCCTAACATTGGCAGTTCGATTCTGCAAAGCTGTTTCCTCACTTCCGCTGCTGTCCCGTGCCGCAATTCCATACCGAGCATGTAAATACTTTTTCTTGCAGAGGCGGCTGAAACGGCTGGTTCTGTTTCGGGAAAACGTTGCAACACATTGCGTCAGGCAATTTCAAGCGCCGCCTGGAGGGTTTTAGAAACTGCTACGACGTTCACTAACGAATCAAAGGACTGCTGGCACCTGGAACTGTGTATATCTGACGTTGGCAGGCCTAGTGTACGAGACGGAAAAAACATGAATTACTTTTGTTTCGAAGGACTGGATAATCGGCGCAGTCGTGTGCGACGGATCTCCACGTTTTCCCCGACCTGCAGCCTGCACCCCACAGGAAAATTGCGAAGATCCACGGGTAGCATTTCTTGCGCATTGAAGAAAGGGGCCAATTGTAGCATCGCATTGGCTGAGAGTTATTGTGAATTATTTTAAAGCAAAAAGTTGCATCTTAGCGGTGTTTTGGTAAGCTCGAGTTCTACGAATACGAGCGGTGCCGTCTTCACAGCACGTTTGTGTAGCGCGCCGCACTACAGGCTAGGATTGTCTGAATCCTCCTGATTTCCCGTGGTTCAGTAAAGAGGCAAATAACTCTAAAATATCTTTGTACATAGCAGTTTCAAATGCGTTATAGAGCTATTTGTGCGAGATGGCCAGACCCATGGTTAGGTTTAGGTAGTGCACAACTTCTCGAGCTATCAACTAAAAACGCTTGGCTACTAGGTGCAGGTTTGCCTCTCCACAGGGCGAACAATCGATACATATTAGCTCCATTCAGTGAATGTTTGGTTCATTAGCATGAAACAATTGACGATCGATCCTTATTTCGTTTCTCGGTTCCATCTCCCTTCAGAGGAGAGGAAGAAAGCCTCTGCCGCTTACCCGCACGTCGTGCTTCAGAGCAAGGAACATTCCTTTTAGTGTCAGCTGCACCACCAACACGAAACCCTTGTCGGCTGCCAAGTGCTCAGATCCTGTGGATCTCCATTGTGTAGATAAAGTAAAGGCTGAGATTTTGTCAAGATCTTAGGAAACTTAGGAGGGGATTCTCCTCGGTTACGCACACACTTTTCTTGAAGCACCTTTCTCATTACTTACCGCTCTGTAGAAAGCCACCCTGCAGCGGGGTGAGCTACGCTGGTCACCCACGCACCGGATGCGGTACGACAAAGTGCAACGCATGTCCAGGATCTTATCCAAAGATTGTTTTGAGTTGCAATATAGCGAACTTAAAATGAGTTTTTTGCAGCGAATTTACAACTACTTGCTTCCTCCTCACTCACCAGGTGTGCAGAGCTCAACCAATCAACTGCCTACCGCCCAACTGCTTGAAACGTAGGGAGAGGATGCGGCTTGCCTTGAGTCACAACGCACCTTGTTGCAACTGGAGGTTCACGAATGCCCCATGTAGCAGTATATACAAGCACGTTTTGTGGGTGAGTGAACACTGTAGGCGGCCGTTTGTCCCTCATTGTCTCATGCCATTGCATACTATGGAAGGGTAAGGGTTGATGCTCCAGCTTCACGCACGGTTGCCATATCGCGAGACGTTATCCTACACATGCCAGAATACGCGTAGAAGTAGAGGACAATGCGCATAAAGACATAATAGATGTCGATTATGTGTACGTACCAGAATACCTACTAATATAAATTGGGGACGTGAATCATAAAACGACTTCAGCAAGAGGATGTCTTGTCCCTAAAATAGGGACAGCGCAGGCTGCTACCGAGCTTGTGTCGATAGGCGTGGATGAGAGGCGCCAGTAGCGGCTGAGAGGGTTTTCGGAGTATAACCTGCACATAATATAGTGAACATCAATACCATTTTATTTAACTAGGATACTGGAGACTATTGACTGATGCGAAGGTTTGTTCACGATAATCCGTTAGATGGTAATCAGCGCAGCTGGCCCGGGAGTTCTGCCAGCAGAGCTGTGTTACACCATCTGAGCAGTGAAAGAAGATGCATGAAACAGGTTCTTTTCATTAAACTATAAAAAAGTCAACCCTTATCAGGCGGTAGCGTTCAACTGGCCAATTCATCTAAGGGATGTGGATGACGAACTTCAGAACTGCCCTCACGTGGCAACGTGGCACTGCCGGTGGATCGACAGAAAAAAGGAAATACGTCAGACTGAGTTGCAATGATTCTCCAATCTTCCATAAGCCACACTTTTATGAAACTGTTAATATGTTGACTTACCTTGCTGAAGGCACCGTGCTGCATGCCCTACGTCGGTGTTGTGGTGCCTACGCGGTAATACGTTCACGTCGGCGACAGGGGCACGACTAGACGTTCCCGCAACTGATATTAGTAGCGCAGGAAGAGATCTGTTTTATGTGATTTCTACGTATTCAGTTGACAACTTTTGAACCATACAAAGCCTCTTTGTGTGCCTTTGTGCAAGTGATTTGAAGCGTGCTCACAGCGGCGTTGTCTTCGGGATCGAAACTGCCACGGCCGCATATCACCGCATAGGCATGAGGTTCCAACGAAGATAGTAGAATCGTTCCTTTCATAGAATCATTACTGTTGTTTTTTCTTTGAAACTGGCAACCGAGCATAAGTTTCGCTTTCTTCGGTGTGAGGTTCCAGACATACCAACTTTGCCCCTCTCTAACAAGATACATACTTTAGGGAGGAAATACAGAAGACTCCATGGCGGCTAGCTGGCTGCTGAGGGAGAAGCCTTTTGAATGGCACAAAACCACCTCCCAGCTGGAGTCAGACTCACCAACGGGGTACCTTAACATACATGTGAACGATGCACTCCTCTGCACAGGGTGCAACTCCTGCTCAGCTCGGTCAAAGCATAGGGCATCATTTCTGGCCACAGCATTCGCTGCAGTGTCAGTTGTCATATTCCTTGCCTACCTATGCAGTTTGTTTATTCGAAGGAGAATTTCCTCTTGGTCATTTGGGCGCAAACTTGCGGGTGGAGCGGATGCCGAAGAAAGTGACGAGCCAGAATCGTGCATCTCAGATACAGATTCAGAAACAGTCCCAAGTACACATCAAGCCCATCGCTTGCGTTTCATCGCAGGTTCGAAGGTGACTCTTCCTGGTGAACCTTGGCATGCCGAATCAGAAACTACCGTTCAGACGTCGCCGCCTTTGGTGAGCAGTGCGGCCATACCCAGCAAACACTTTGTGGCCTCCAGGCCCCAGATAGGCACAGCTGGGGGGCGCATGCCTAGTAAAAGGAAGGAACCACAACATGACGATGATCAAGGATATGCAAAGATGCTTAGACTGGAGGCGCCGATTCAGGTGACTCCGCCGGGGCCCCTTCCATCATATGTACATCGGAAATCGGATTCACTCGTTAATTCTGCCATTTCAGGATATAGAGATGCGTTATCCGAAGATTCATGGGCTGTTGATAATGCATTGACCGAGCATGTTTTGAGTTATAGTGATGATGCAGGCCCTTCGTCAGCTTTTCCATTGCAGACTGGAAATGGACCACGCAAGAAGCCTGGGGCCGAACAGAGCCACCCTGGGCTCATGCCAACAAGCCATGTGTTTTCGGGACTATCTGGAAACCCTTCAGACCTAGGCGAAAATGAATCAACTTATACAACGCCGCTAAGCTTTTTCGAGTCTGTGTTGTCAGAGTCCACCCACACCCCGCAATCAAGCTCTTTAGATATGTGGGTATTGGGAGACGAAGCAAAAGCTTTGGGGGAGGCACTGAGTCTGGTGGCTTCACATGGGACACCTTCTGCGTTGCCTGGTAGTAGCGAAAAGGCCAAGGCGCAGGCAAAAGGCCTTGGGTCCTTATCCGGCATCTCAGCTGGGGGCAGGGTGCATTCAGAAATACTGTGCCATTCTGAAAAGTCACAAAATGATTCTCGCAGAGAGGTAATCGAGGTGGGTCTGTGGCTAAACTGAACAACTGTTACAAAATAGCCTATAGTCACCCAGCAGAAATTGGATCTTTAAGCTTTTGTTGTGGGGAAGTTTGGCTTTGTGTGTGCCACATGCGTGTTGTGGAGTAGCTGCAAGCGAACGCTTCGCTTCAACCATTTACACAGGAACATCCCATTGCTCCTAGACACGGAATGGGAGGACGCGTCCTAGAATCAACTGTTCTTCGGAGCCTATTGTCATCAACGCTTTCCACGAGTGCCATCCCTCCTTCGTCAGATACTGAGGATGAGGCCACGATGAATGAAGAAAAATCATCTGAGCAGGTGGGCTTTTTCTTACACATGACCACATGACGCCTGTGCCAACCTAGTGTTTGATTCGTTCGTGCGGTTTGCTTACTTGCCAACCTATGCTGTTCACTGAGCAGACCTGGTTGCCACTGCTGCTGTGCCAGTAGAAGAATGCACTCGGGGCAAATGATATGGTGTCATTGTGGTATGATTTGAACAGTCGGTATCTGGGCGGGCCCAGTCTGCACTGGAGGACCTCCTTGCTTCGGTTGGATGGCTTGATGAAATGCTACGTGGGGTGCCTGATCACCTCCTCGAAGCACATCCGTTTTACCGTCACCCAGGAGAACATCCAAGTCCCAGCAGAACCTATAACGACAAAAATGCTGAACCTTATCGTACTGGTTATCCAAACATAGTCCCGTTGCTTGCGGAATGCAGGCTTCTACTGAAGAAGCCGTGGCTGGCCTTAGAAGATATGGAGGTGCTCTTAGACTATACTGAGCGCCTGAGCGGATATGCATCCGGCGTCATGCCGGCTCACAGTCGATTTCTCACGACGTCATTTGGTGTAGAAACCATGGGAAGGGTGTTTCTTGTTCTCGATATGCTACACTGCGCAGCAGAAGTTCTTGGGCAAAGTTCCGAAAAGGATCAGTGGTGGCCCGGAATAGTACTTCACATAGAAAATGCGAGATATCGCCGCAGGTCTAGAGTACCACCAAGGCCGTGCTGGAGTTATCCCCTCTTAGTTGCAATGGACGCTGCGTTGGACTTCTATCGAATTGGGGAAAGACCTCCCTTGCGTCTTGTCATTGCAATAAAGCTAGCCCTTTTTCTCTCACCCATGAAGACGAGGTTCAATAAGCCTAAGTGGGACCCTTGGAGAGAAGACGCTAAAGAGTGGCTCCAGTCGATCAAGGCAAGCAAACAAGGGGGTGATCAATCGACAAAACAACCAACAGGTTGAAGGGTATGAAAAGCGTTCAATGATGCACAGTCAATGATGCACAGATGTGCCACTTGTCTCACATTCGCTACAGCCAGAAGAAACTCATTTGCAAAGCTGAGCAAGCGTGCAGGCAAGATGGGCGCAGATTGTTGCCCTTGTCTTCGAAACTTTCGTGTGCCCACTGTAACTAAGACTATAAATGTCTTGTTTTCAAACACCGGCGCCATTGACACCATGCTGTGGGATCAGGTTGCCTAGAAGACGTCTCCTGTTGAGACTCTTACATAATGTATTTATGCCACTAGACGAATCTGAGCTGCCTAATGATAACTGCTGCAGGGCAATGGAATTACGAGTGGATATTGACGCCGCTGCTGGGTAGACAGAGCGAGAATACTTAGGTGCACAAACAAAACACAATACCAGTTAACATATCGATATTGGTTAGTGTGTCTGTTTCAACACAGCTAGAGGGAAGCCAGCAGTTGTCGCTTAGCTCCTCTACGGGACTGGCCACAACGCCCCGATCGACAAGGGCAGTATGTACAACTTCTTTCCCGTTATTCAGAGCTGAAATTGTTTTGATGATGTTTATTTGTTTCTCTTTTCTAGTGCATATGAAGGATTACCCATGGCCTGTCGTACGGCTGTCGTGATCATCAGGCACGCTGTCGCGAGCATATCTACACCGGGGTCGATGGTTCGCACCGTGCGGCGCACAGAACTGGTGCAGAGCATTCTAGTGAAAATCCGCATTTTGTGTGCCTTGTTGGAGTCAGTGCCTTTTGCAACTATCATTGCTTCACGCCTTCGCTCCTCCGGAACTGACGACTTTTCCGTCTCTGCCAACTGCGTGGGAAGACCTGGCACAACCCTTGGCACACCCACCTTCAATCTCGCATCGATGGATCAACCAGAAGGTGCCAGTGGATTTTACGATAAATCCACATAGTATTTCAGCCATCCGGATGCTGTCTCTTTTTTGGAAGCTGTCTTCCTACCCGCCGAGCTCACCTTGTGCACGAGCGATCATTCCCGGAAGTAGCAAATATTTTTCAGGGTAAACGGCTTTTCCTCCCAGACATATCGCTGCAGCAGATTATTTCAAGTGTTTTGTGATGAGTTTTCTGTAATTTTAACTGCGTTCGTCAATTGCTCAAATGCCTTTGTCCATCGGAGCGAGACACTAACGGCGGCTCTATGGCGGCTAGCTCGAACTTTGAGAAGAACTCTCTTACATTGCATCAGATCGACTCCCATTTGTCTTCGGATAGCCTAGCTGGGAAAGGCAAAAGATATGATAAAGATGGGTTGCAAACCATTGCTAAACCCCCCACTCTTCGACCACCACCGGCACGAACCCGACTGGCAGCGCTTGTTGCAGCTTCGGTCGTCATATTTATTGCGTACCTATGTAGTATCTTCACTGAAAAGAGGGTAATTCTTTCGTCTTTCAGTCGCAGACTGGCAGACACATCGGGTGTTAGTGCAGGCGACCTCTCTGATAGATGCAGCTCAGGTTCACTTCAAGGAACATCTCCAGATACTACCCCAGACCTCCCTAAGATTGCATCATCACCTGTTAAAACAAAGGAACTCACACCGGACCCAGACCGTCAAACGACCTCAAGCAAGAGCTTCCCCAGTGTAGAGGTCCCGGGCGAATCGGCAGATCAACTAGTCACAAACAACGAGCAAATAAATTTTAAGAGAAAGGCTGTAGAAGAAACCAAAGATGGGATACAGCCGAAAAAAACCAGGCTTGAGACACCGCTAGAAGAGCCCTCCTTGATACCACCACCTCTCGATCCCGAGACTGATGCACTTATTGATTCTGTGTTGTCTGGGGGTGGGAAGTTCCTGTCCGAAGACTTTTGGGTTCAAGACCCAACGCCGTTGCCAGATCCTGCCCATCATTTAGAGCCTCCCAAACGACCTAATGATCATGGGGTGAATGTGGAAGAGGCTTCGCGCCAGCATGTGGGTGGTTTAGCTCAGGGAGTGTCTCCAGAAGTGCTGGAAAACTCTCCACATCTCGAGAAGAAATGGTTTACCAGTGCATACCAGCCGATGACGTTTGAACATGCGTTGCCAGGAGGCGTCGTCGGGGCGTTCTCAAATTATCGTGGGCATCTTGGGAGGGACAGGGGGGGGATAGTCCCGTCAAGCATGATGCCATCTGCACTGGCCCGTGAAGTTGGACGTTCAAATACTGTGGGAAGCTCTTCTTCGTCATCTGCTAACATGCTTGGAGACCAGAAGCATACAGGGCAGGCTTCCCAGTTGGAAGGGTCACTCAACGACTATTCAGGTGACGATACAAACACGGTAAGCTTGATTGCTGCTTGACAATGAGCAACCTCTTCCATGCCCACCAAGTAGTAGCTTTTCTACTTTTACCGCGTTGTGCCCAAGCATGGGTTCGCAGTTTTTAGTGCTTATTTTGCAGTTTCAGGTTCCTAGAGAATTGAAGCAGTCGCCTGCAAATAACACAAGAGAACAACCAGAGGGAAACGTGATTACTAGCTCTGACAACTCCCTTCCCAGAAGCATACTGTCTTCGAGCTTCGCGACAAACGCTGTTAAAGAGTTGCCTTCCGGAATCACGGGGACGGTCTCGTCGGCATCACAGAAACGACAGGTGTGTTTTTTATGATGTGTAGCCCAAAATATGAGCACAGACAGTGCACGACAATCGGCCATTGCCTACTAGCCACATCGTCGGATGTTCACAGCTTTTTTCACTTTGTGAAATCTGAGTAGACAAGATGAAGATAGACTAAACACAGTCTTCTCTTTGTGGTATGCTTTCTTCAGTACCGATCTCCACTGCCGCTCTACATGCAACGCAGAATTCTGATTTTCTTTAGGTTGCTTGAGAGTATGTATCGAGGGATTTCTGATGAGGTTCTTGAAAGCCATCCGTTCTACAGGCACCCTGGAAGGCAGCCACAGATGAGCACAAAACTCTTCAGATTGTCTATAGCTGTGACATTCCGTCAAGTTAAGCAGGCCCCAATTTCTACAATGGCGCAATGCAGGGAAATCCTGAAGAATAAGTCGCTCACTGTCGAGGAGTTCGAAATGCTTGTGCATCACGTTGAGCGGGTGTTTGGACATGCAACCGGATCCATGCATATAGGTGCTGCTCAGCCAGCGCTGAAGGCAGTGGCTCTTCTGGGGCATATATTCCTGGTTGTTGACATGCTGTACTGTGCGGCGGAAGTGTTGGGGGAAAACTCTAGGAAAAACGTTTGGTGGCCTGAGGTCATGCATCGCATTGAAGGATCCCGGTACTACCTCCCCCGTATGCCTGACTTCTCTGAGTCGCCGTCCTGGATTACTGGAATGGCATGTGCTCTGAACACCGCGCTGGATTACTACAGACGCGGCTTGAGGCCCCCCGCTCGTTTGGTAGTTGGTCTGAAGGAAAAGCTGTTTTGTGATCCAGCCATAAAGAAATTCCAGATTGTCTCGTGGGATCCTTGGAGAACCGATGCCGCAGATTGGCGTCGGTGGGTGACGAACAGAAAGCAAGCGGGAGGAGAGGAAACCGGCGATTCGGCAGGTCGCAGTTGACCATTGGTGCTGTAGACCACAGGAAACAGTACTGACCAAATGTGCACTATCTTCTACTGTGTAGACCTGAGGGGCATAGATGCTTCTCTGGCAGCCCGTTTTACCTGCACCACGTTCGCCCATCTGCTCGCCACAGCACATTTATTGTTCGGTCATTTGTGAGCTCGAGGCACTCAGGCTGTACAGAGAATGACGCTCAGGATCAGCGCTATTTTTGTAGTATTGCCAGTACAGACCAGTTAACGAGGAGGTCAGGTTTGGGGCGTAATGGGCTCCTGCCGGTCTTTTCTACCCCTTGAAGAGGGGTGCAGCGAAGGTATATGGAATTAAACCATCATCCGTATTTTTTTTTCACTTTTATTGTAACGACCATAAGCACTGGGCTTCTGGTGAAGGGGGACCGTCACCCCAAATTGTACTGAAAGTGTACTGTTTTCCTGCTAGGAAAAAATGTGCCAACCCTCGATTCATCTTGATGTGCCTCCGAGGTCCGTTCTGTCTGATGTTGGTATGTCCTTTTTTCTGCTTGCTGACTGGCTTTTTAGTTCCAAGGGGTATATCAACAGATGTACAAGAGATGTTTCTGAATTACAGCAGGATTGCCTTGTATGATGAATTGCAACAATATGCTGTACCACGCATGGCATGCAGCCCCTTATCAATACCATCCCCAATTTTGAATCCAAGGATGCCTGTAGACTGGACGGGAGGTCAGCTCCTTTTGGGGAGTTCTTATTCACTCACGGGAACCCTCAGCTACAACTCGTCTCAATTGGGGTGTGAGGGATGGCAAAGTTGCGAAATGCACGAGCTCTCCGTTGTAGTGCAATGACCGACTCACTGCACTCACCACCTATAAACCTGTTTGTCTTTCAGCAAGATGTACACCTATAAATGGCGCGAAAACCACTTACACCCACATATTTAGCCTCAAACATATTCAAGTCCTATCATGAGGGAAGCAGAGAATGTTATATCTGTCTGCATTTGGCCGCCTAAGGTGGGTCAGTGCCTCAGCGATCCAGACAGCCACAAGCCCTTCATTGGCTCTTGGAGGACCGTCATGGGCTGTTGGAGATCGTAGCCGGTTTGCAGGACTGCCTAAGTGTTCTAAATTATGACTAATATTAAACGGCATCGTTTCGTTTTCGCAAAAGCGCGGATAGAAGGTTACAGGGTGAACTATTGTAGTCCCCATGCACTACAGTATAATCCCACAACCATGGGGGCAGTCAAACTTTTTAGCAAGCAGCGTTTCTATCATGCAAACTATCAGCGGCGACTGCCACTAATGGCGTAGTGTAGCGAAAGCCATCGGTATCATTGGAGGGGAGTTGCTAGTTACGGCAAATTTAGGGCAATTTAAACGAGAGTTTCCAGAAAGTAACGGGTCGCTGCCCTAGTAGCTGTGAGAAGTCCTGCTGCCAGAAGTCGCGTGCATAGGTGGAGCAATGTTCTTTGTCTGGTGGGGAGTCAATATCGCATGTCACGTGTTACCGTATTTCTTTTTGCAAGAGATATTGCAAGGCGGACCAACGTGCAAACATAGCTGGTCTCGTTGGTTGCTTGCACTAACGAAGAAACTGTAGAGAATAGTTGAGGAGTCACTTCACCTTCAGTGGCCAGCATGCAAGCTTATTGAACACGTAGCAAGTAAAGGCGGACCTTGCCATCTCCACTGCAATCTAGAGTATCGAAGTAAACCCGGACTGCTTGGGGAGTATGGAGAAGAGACGAAAGCACCCATGACCGGAAAATAAGGCAGTGCGGAACGGAAAAGACCGGCAGGCGGCCGAGAGCTGGAGGTGCCAACACAAAGCAATTAAAACGAATCTTCGTTATTCACTGATGTAACAACTTAACATGGCAGGGTGCTGATAGTGGCGTGACGAAAGCGGCGCCACTGCGCGGAACACTTTTCCGGGCAGGGGAGCGCCCGTTTGCAGCTGTCGCTGATCGTGTTTATTCGGCTGTACAGTGGGCCGCAAACGTGGCTTTTAGAGGTCCAACCATCAAAATGAATACAAATAATAATAATTTCATAAATGAATTAGGTGACGTTAGAAGGAAAATAAGGCCTTCAACCTAACAGCTCGCGGCATCCCACCAAGGGGGCATGCTGTATGCGGGCACTGTCTCTGAGACCCTGACCCACAACGGGGTCAGTGGTAACCAAATTTATTTCTTGTCTCCCTCGTTTTTCGGCACGTAGAACCGCTATATGAATCAGGGATCGTTTGTTGTTGATTTCAGGACAGCTAAGAAAGTATTCGGTTAGCGTATTGGCAGATCTGTAACATGAGAGTACAACAAGTTGTGTAAGATGACGTGCACTTATCGGTGGGAACCGGCAGTCCTTGCATCGTAGTAAGCAAGACTCCCGATTCCCTAAAACTTGTTTTTAACACTTAGGTAATGAATTTGAAGATCACAGGAGGATTATTTAGATTCCATATAAGTTGGCTGGCTGAGAGGCGCTGTGTTGGTGTTTAAAAGGGATTGGGGCACAACTAGTGCTATACAGACAGCGCACGAGCGCAGGTCGGGGAAGAGTGCTGGAACTATACTTAGTCAAGGCAGTTTTACAGTTTTAAACCTTTAGGTTGAACACTAAATGAGACTTTCCGCTTTGGGTGTGCCGAGACAGGGAGGTTCCCACGTGTTGCGTGGACGGGGTGAGCAATGTGGTTCGCGTGGAACACGCCATCGCACTGTCACGTGGTGACTGCTGAATTCATGGGTAGAAGCAGTTTTCATCAAGATAAATCTCTTTTTGTCGGTTTTCGATACTCTGCTTATGGTTATTAGTTACTCATTTTCTCTTTCTGGAAGGCACAACAGCGGTGCTCCTTCAACACGTTCAAGAACGTGATCTGCACCGGTACACACGAATTCCCATGGAGTATTTGGTCAATCATTCAGGCAATTTTTGGCAATGGTAATTTATTCACAGTGATATTTGAATTTATCTGCCAAATTCGGCACATTCACGCATGCAGATCATAATTGATGCCGACCTTCCTGCGGGGTGCCCCTGCAGAAACCTGCACAATCCGCTCCCTGCACACGGCACCTTTTGGACTTCTAAAGCTGCAGAAAATAATTCTACATTATCTATAATAAGCCAGAGCTGCTCGCGAGGTTATCTTTAGTTGCCCCCCGAGCCCGAATGCCTAAGTACACCGACCCGCAAGTTAGCACGGCGAACCTATGGCGACAAGCACTAACCTTGCGGATACGTACCCTGGCTGGCACCAACCGCAGGAGCATTTGCGTCTTCGTTCTTCGAGCGGGTCTGGCCTCGAAATCTACAATGCAAGACTCAGGCCGAAAAGGGATGCCCTTGCGCGGAAAATGTTGTTACCGCTCGTTGCCATTGCCACAGTCACGGCAGTTATGTTATTTGTCTTCATGTGCAGTCTGTCCATCCGAAGAAGGATATCTGCAATGTCCTTTCATCGAAGGCTGGCGGGGAGCGCGGGAAGCGAAATGGACAAAGAGTCTGATTGGTGCGGTCCAAAGAGGAATTCACCTGTACCTTTAGGACCCTTCGTCATTTCTACAGAACGAGTAGATGCTACATCCCAGGGTTATTCTGGGGAAGGTAGATCAGATATTGCGGTACATACGCACCCCACGGAGGGAACCGCCTTACTCAGAGGGGCGAATATCTTGGGGAGAGCAGCAGCGCAGACAGTGACAGGCGGGGTTGCATTTGGTGTTAAAAGGAAGACAAGGGAAGATGCAATTACAGAGAGCACAAACAAGCGGTTCATGGTTGAGGATGCGCTCGAGAAGTTCCCGCCGGAGCCTCAGCCCCCTATGGATCCGGATCTCGATTCGCTGATTGAAACTCTGTTGTCTAAGCAGGAAAATGTGCTCTTTGATCATTTTTTTTTACTGGATGACAAACAAAAGAATGAAATGGGGGATGTGTTACAAGATGACTCCGCACAGTTGAATCGGGACGCTGCGAACATCCCTGCAACGCCTACTCATGCTTCAGCGCACACCGTGGCTTCAAGAGCGACTTCGACCAATAAGAGCCTAAAAGGGCGTACTGTGTCCGAGAAAAGAAGCTCACAAGCTGCAACCTCACTTAGCCTGTCCTACTATGAGTCGCCAAAACACAGCGCTGCGCTGTCTCCAGAAAGTTGGCTTCTTCAGTATGACGATCGCATTTGGGGAGGCGAGGGGACTATACAGAATACAGATAACCTTTTGTCTCGTGCATCAAATCGCCCCTCTTCAGAATCACAAGGATCCAGTACCATGGTAGCAGAGTCCATCTCTCAAACTCTAAGACATCTCCCCCATGGAGGCCAGGTCGGTTGTTGGATAACCGCTCATCGACTGATGTCTCTCACCCCAGCCCACTGTATCCACTTGCTATTCAATTTATGGCCTTAGTGTGAAAAGCCTGAGCCAGAAGTTTTTAATGCATGGTGTGTAATAGGTACCGACAAATGGAGTGTTTCAGCTACCAACCACTGGAAAGTATGCTCCTTCGGATCAAGGAATTGACACAACTTTAAAGGAACGCGCTGAAGGCAGCGTAGCCGCTACGACCGCAGAATTCAATGTCGTCGGGCCTATCGCTGCAGAAAATATGCCACAGAACACGCCGAAGGCAACAGGGAAAAAAGAGCAGGTGGGTGTCATTTCTCAAGTAGAGGTCTTCAGAAGATAGACAGTCTTGAGCACACCAGTAGCCGCTGCCTCCCTGCTTACCTATTAACATTTTTCGGACACACGTTACCCAGCCTATCAATGCTCCACCAGAACTGAAAAGCGTGCAATGGGGAGGATGGAATTATTGTTGTGGTATGCGCTATCCAGTCAGAGTCTTCTTCACCAAAACAGACAGTCATGGGGTCAATGGCTGCGCCTGAATGGTTCCTGGAAATGTACCCTCAAGTTCCTGATGAACTTCTCCAATCCCATCCCTTCTATTTCCACCCACGAAGCCACGGCAACTTCAGCTCGGAGACTCTAAGAAAAACAGTGGGAGCGTCCTTTCGCCTTCTAAAAAAATTCCCGTTGTCTACACTAGCTGAATTCAGGATCCTGTTGAGGAAAGAACAACTTTCCGAGCACCATTACAGACGTCTACTCTATGCCACAGAGCGCTTGTATGGGTACGCAACGGGTAGCATGCCCAAGCTGGTTCCAAAAACCTCAATTGGTGGCGCCGTAGAAGTTTTGGGGGGAGCTTTTATCGTAGTTGATACGCTCTATTGTGCGGTTCAAGTGCTCGGGGGTAACTCCAGTTCGTGGTGGCCAGATGTAATTAATAGCATTGAAGAAGTACGCTACGTACCACGGGTACGTTTCTCTATAAACAATTCAATTGCGGAGATGCTGGACGTAGCGTTGAACTACTACAGGAATGGAGCGCGGCCTCCTGCCCGTGTGGTCGTCTGCTTGAAGGAAATTCTCCTCGATTCAGCCAGTAGCTTGAAGTTCAGTACCATGTCGTGGGATCTGTGGAGGGCGGACGCCGCAGAGTGGCGCGAGGCCATGGGTCTGGAAGTACCAGAACCGGGCAACCTGTGAAGCTATCGACCAGTGCAGTTCGCAAAATGCTCAAGCACGTGTAGATACGCGTGCCCTGGCTATGTCTGGCAAGACCCCTGCTAAAATGCCTTTGTAACAAGGTCCCATACAATGGTCTCTACCGGCAGCTATCCTGGCTGTCAAGTCTGTTCTCCTGCTTGGGGATGGACCACCTTCCGCCCTCATTTTTCAATGCATTTGCCGCATATCGCTCAGCTTCCGTCGTAGCACTGCCTCTGCACGACAGTATATTTCGTGGAGGCACCTGAATAAACTGAGTGTCGGGGCTCATCCCCTTGCCTGTCCTCCTTCAAACATGGAAATATTAAAGGAAATTCCCCAGCTTGTCCCGTGAGTGTGGCTCATAGGATGCTTTGCACTGGCCAGTGCATTTTCTCTGTGTGAAGCCACAACTGCCAGGGTTAGAATTCGAGGTCCTTTCGAAGTGCATGCACCCTACAATGCACAGCACTGCCGTCGTCCGATGCATTTTTGCGTGGTATTAGCTCGCAACAACAAAATCAATTCGAAATAAGTGATGGGCCGGGATGGCGTGGAAAAGTCCACAAATCGCTGCATCGAGCTGTCTCACAGCATGCAATGCCTCTTCAGTGGTGTCCGTCCACTTCCGAGATCCTGCAATGAGGCTGTTGCAAGGTGGCTGCAGCAATGCTAGCAATGAGGCTGCATACCTTTCTGAGTGCACTGCCTTTGACAAACCTCCTGCCTCAAATGGGGGATATAACGCAGTGCTGAACCGCAGGCCGGCCGAGGTATTGTGTACGCATTGCAACATGCCTCGTTTAGTTGCCAGGTTCCATGTTGGTACTGCTGCTGCTGTTGGTGGTGTTGCCGTTATTGCTGTTGCTTTGCTTGCCCGTGTCCTTTTGGGCAACGAGCAGTCGATCGTCTGACGCAGTGGCGTCCACCACTCCATGCAAAAGCATCTCTCTAGTCTGTTCATCCAAATTTAGGTGCTTTGATACCGAGATGAGCAGCGACTGCACCTGTTCTGTTGCAATGCCATAAAGGGACATGAAGGAACCAAAAGATGGGAGGCTGCTGCAGCAAGGGTTGTTCTCTCTGAAAAGCCTCTCCTGCTGCTGCAGCACATCTGGTCCCGCCGCTTGCCACTTTTCAGACAACTGTGCACACCCATGCATTCGCACCATTAATGAGAAGCCAACTGAAAATGAAAAGGGGGCGAAAAACGAACATAAGGCCATCACTCTCAAACACAGCGACGCACATATTCCAGGTATACTCAGGTGCGTTCCCATGCGTGCTTTGAGCACTCAGATCCTGGCCATGTTCGGTGTCCTCTGGCCCACAATGCATACAGGCCTTCAGCTACTCACTTTCTGTCTCTGTAGTTCTTCACTAACAGTCAGGGCAAGGGCTTCTTCCCAGAATGTCACGCGATTCCAATATCGGTGGTGGTAGACACAACGCTGTACAAGCAACAGGCAGGAAGCACATCGTTACCTCTCCGTATTTACGTGAGACATTCAGCTGAGGGATATCCGATACAAAAGAAATGGTAGGACAGCTGCCTCACATGCAACGACCATCGAACTGCACTCAAGGACGCCTCCTGTTCCCGTTCAAGTCTTTCAAACGAGTTCTCGCTGCTGCTGCTGCTGCTACCGCTGCCGCTGCCGCTGCTGCTGGGATCCTGGTGGCATCCCTCCTGCCTCTTGGACTCTGCATCGGAGAAGTAGATGCTGCCAAGTTGCTGTTGTCGTTGCAGCACCTGTTTCCAGTCCCACTGTCTCTGCTGCTGAGGGTCTTCTGCTGCAGTTCCATGTGCAGCTATCTCGACAGCAAGCAGCAGCAACTGCCTGCCAGTCCATGCATCTAGTTGTGTATCTGCTGCTGTCAACAACCAGTCACAACAGACGCCCAACAGCCGCAACTGAAGCCTGCAACAAGAAATGCTCAACCGAAACAGCGGTCACCTTGGCTTTGCGCCGTTATGACAAAGTGATGTACCAACAAAAAAAGGAGAAACAATAACAGGTTGAACACCAAGGCGCACAGGAATCAACGACAGGTAAGAAAACCACTGCATTGGGGGACAGCGTATTGGTCACGCGCGGAACGCATGGAAACGCCTAACGTGGATAAACGCTACACATGGGAGGAGCAAAGCCGCTATCCAGCTATGTCACACCACTCTAATTCGGCAGCAACATTTCGCAGTATCCGCAAGTTTCGCCCCTGCAATATTAGGGCCGCCTACATGGAAGGTAGCAGGGCTTGTCTGTCAGGCATCTCCCCAGCTCTCTTCCTCTTCGTAGACACCAGAGCCGACAGGAAGGCACTTCTATGCAGTGAGGAAGTCATCTCCTCCTGCAGCAGAGCCATCTTGTGGAGCAGCAAGGAGCACGCCTCTACCGGAAGCAGCAAGCCACTGCTAGATGTTGATGTGACGGGGGTCCAAAGAGCATTAATAAACCTACGAAGGCACATCACAACCACGTAAGCAACTGGGCGGAGAGTACAAAAACAATGTGCAAAGAAATTAGTCCCATGCTCTAGCGCAGCATATACACCACCGAAACGCACTCAGTATACTCATCCTGGAGTCGCTGCACAACGGCCGCATCCGGAGGGGTAGGAAGCCCCGGGATTGCTGCAGTGCCTCCCCCCATTTGTCCCCCTGCTTCCTCCGACGCTCCACCATCCGAAGCGCCAATGGAGTACGCGGCTAAGCTCTGCATAGCAATGAACATCCAGAAGCACGCATTGCGGAATGCACTAATCACTTCACACACGAGTATCAACGAAATGGAACCATCTGCGCACAAAAGCTTATTGGATCAACCAAAGGGCCCCAGCAGCAGCTTCTGCCAGGGAAATCGATCCACATTACAAAATGCCTGATGCAGACAAAGGCTCAGCATACCCAGCAGTTACCACTGAACTTCTAGAGACAACTCACTGCAGCGGATTGCATTACTCGTTGGAAAGCAGACTTTTGCAGAAGCTGTCTTGCCACGTTAGTTGCAGAGGACAGTGGCGTCACGGTAGTGTTGGCATTAACGCTACAGACAGTAGGCTGTAGGCTGTCCCCGTACACTGCGTCTAAGACAGTCCACTTCTCCTGCGAGCGCAGCAGAAAGAGCGACTACAAATGCGGCAATAAGATTATCACGATTGGCATGGTATGTGAGAAAGCCATGGATGTAGAGCAGAAGACTACAGAGCAGCAGCACCCAGCGATGATGCAACAGCTGACGACTGTTGGGAGGGACAAGCTCGGAGGCGTTGCAAGTCTCCGGCCATCAACGAAGTCTTGCAGATCTCCCTCAGGGTCGACTCCCTCAACACTCTGCGCCATCGAAAGGATCCCACACGCACTTGCCCGGCAAGGTGCCCCCACAAAAGCAACTGCCTCAGAGCCAGCATATGGCAAGCAGTTTACGACAGAACGGCAAACGTACACAGTGCGACAGACTGCAGTGCATCAGGTACTGTAGCAGCAGCATAGCACTGGTAGCCCACTTGAATGGAACGCTCCAAATCGTACTGCATGTGCCTGAGATTTGCTGCTACAAAGACACCCGCTCTCGTCAGAGCGTCCCTGAGGCACTGCATACGCTTCAAGTCCATCTCCTCCAAGCAAGAAAGAATGCTCTGCACCCTCTCGCGAGTCACCTTGCTGCGTTGTTGCAAGGCCTGCAGCAGCATCATCACAGAAGCCACCAACCAGACGAGCACGAGGGACATAGGAAACGTGATGCCAAGTAGGGAAGCTGACTCAACCAAGAGATGTAGCAACACCGGCATGGCGGGACCGGGACCAATGCAGCCAAAAACTTCGAAGGAATAACTACATATACCATGTGGCCGATATCGTAAGGGGTGCCATGGAGAAAAGGCACAGTGAGCCGCATACGGAAATAAATGGTGCTTAGGCAACTAAGGACAGCGAAGGAAAGTAGAAGCGAGGAGTATAACGACGAAGCCGCGCACTTACCGAGACCCCCTTCGAGGGCGACACACACACCAGGCGGCAAATTCAGTTCAACGAATGCGAAGCAAAAGGAAACGTCGAAATATCAAACGGCATCAGAGAAGCCAGCACCGGCATGAAAGGAGGGGAACCCCACTAGACAACCGACGAGACACACCTGCACTGAGGCTACGTACGCCTCCTCCGCCTGGCGAGCCTCCACGCATAGTCGGATGCACCTAGCGCAAAAGGCAGCAGCAGCATCTCTAGCCACTATACCACCGCAAAACGTAGCACCTGCATGCGAGACTGCCTACGTCCAAGGAGGTGGGCAACAACATGGAGAATGCAAAGAGAACGGGTAGACTGAGACCGACTGTAGAGCCAATTCAGTCTTCGTCGATGGCAACATAGACAGCGATGCCTGAGCTGTCGCTGCTGCTGCGGCCGCCATCTTGCTGGAGCGCAGGTACTTCTCCATTGCCTGCATAACGATACAAAGCCTAAACACTGACGATCAAATGGTCTTGCCACATGCGGTAGAGATGGGCATGTGGCGGTGAAGCTCGTGGTGGCACCGACGGCAAGATGGCTGCCTCTACGGGACCGGTGTTGCCGTTGGGAGTGCTCCGCAGCATACCCGTTGGTGTTCCACTGCTGCTAAATGGTTTCGCCTTTGGGCCTCCGCCGCGTCCAACTTCACCTGTCAACCGAAACACAATCAACTCTGACAGCGACTCAACAACGGCAGCAGTTCAGTTCTCTGGCTACATGCTTCTTTCTTGGCGGCAGCAACAGCAATGCACAGACCCCTGGCGGCTAAATCAGAACACATTTGCAGGAATGGCTTTCCTGCTGCCCAATCGGTTCACAATATCACACAGCGAAAAACACCGATATGCTCATGCGACTTCGAATGGAGTGCCGAAAAGAGCGGTTGGGCCAATTCGGGTAAGAGGGATGATCTGATTGGAGCAGGGTTGCGGTGGATTCAAGCCCGTGCTCCTGAAAACATCCAAGAGGCACGCCCCAGACGCTTTTTCGGCAAAGCTCCGGCTACACACGAACTGGTGCATGCAGAAGGATAGCCAAGGCGTTGCGACCTGTTTCAGAACTTGCGCGTGGTTCTCAATTGTCCTGTCCAGCGTGGATGCCACGACATCTCTGCGTAAAGCGTCGCAGAGCTCTTTGGCTTGTAGTGCGGTGTTGCCTAAAAGACAACTATAGCTCTGCACAGCAGTGGCGCATGTCCTATCGCAGCACAACGCAGGCGCATGTCTTGTTCTTGTCGTGTGTGGTAAGGCTGTTCTCAGTGCATCTGGTCTCATTTTCCCTTGCCATGTTAGGTCCCCTTGCCCTGCTCCTTTGCCAAACTGTCGTATGCCGTACGCACTTGGATTCTGGGGAAAGTGGCTTCAGAGTTTCCGCGGCGACGTTTAGGGACGCGGCAAAGGCCGATGCTGCTGCTGCCTGCTGCAACAGGGCCCCCCGCAGGCGTTCTAGTAACAGTCTGCCGGCCTCAACGCGCTGAACTGCCGCATTCAAGTCGTGCTGCCTTCGGCGAAGGAGAAGGAGAAGCACCACAGACAAACACAGAAAGGCAAGGAACCACACGGAATACAGCAACGGAAACGCAGCCAACAATACAACACAAAACGTGCGACGCAGGGCGATCAGAGAGCAGTTGAAAGAGTATATTTCCCCAAAGAAATCCAAAGGCAAACTCACAATACATCAACGAAGACGCTCGCAGGCCTTCCCAGGTTGTCTGTTGGGAGACTTCTTCCATGTTCTGAGGCCGTCGTTTGTGCTGCTGCTATTGGCGGTTTCGGTGCTGCTGTCCCTGACGAAGTTGGCTGTCCATCCTCCAGAGATGAGGCTGCCACCTCGAAAGAAATGCCACTGGAGCCGCAGGTTGTTCCCTGCTCGGCGCTTTCACCGGCCTCTACATCGTCAGCCGCTGCTGTGCCCGTCCTTTTAACAACGTCTTCATTGTTTGGGGCTGACTGGCGGGATGGCGCTGGTGACAATACGGGTATAACTGGCTTTGCTTCATCTGACCCAGGACTCACCTTTGCATCACCAGCTTGAGTTGCCTCGGCTTCAGCTGGGCACATGGTGAAACACCCAACGCCCGAAGCAGAGCATGCGTAGTGGTGCTTGCTAATCGAACCTCTATTCCTGTCAAGGGGTGCCCTTCTGTTTAGATAAAAAAACACTTTTTTCAGTTGCCGGTCCCTGTTTTCGTAGTTCAAGGTCGGTTGCAGTCGTCTCTACATGGAGCGTAACGCCTACTCAAGAAACAGCGTTCCTTCGTCAATTTCCTACAATTCAACAACCTCTTTTGCCACACACCTTCATCCGCCAGTGTTTACCTCTCTAATTAATCATGTCAACACAAGGGAAATTAGTCCAGTAAGAAATACGAGCAGGCTTGCCTCAGACACCTGGGGCTTTTTTTGTTGCTGTAGAGCGCTCCACTGCTGCCGTCGCAACGAATCGTGTTTCCCTTTTTAAATGCCAGCGATCAACTTTGGTTAGCGGCAGAATGCGTGTTTTAAATAGGCTAAAACTAGCTGGTTCGTGCTTTAGAAGAGGGGTTAAGTCCTGCAGGCAAAGTGGCCGTTCGAGTGGTACTGTAGCATAGTCGGTGCAGTGATGGCAATTCTGTCTGCGAAGTGGCCACGCAAACCTTTGCCCGACCCTAGAAGAAAAATGACGCTCAAGCAAGGGTTTTCAACGGTAGCCTCCAGTGTTTATCCCAATGGTAAAGAGGGCTTGTTTCTGGCATATCTTGGGGCTGTGTTGCACCTTGGGTTGAGACACGTTGCAACTCATGGCAGCCCCCTCGTCTCCCACAAATAAAGGCATATATACCCCTACGTTTTGTATGCCTTGGAGCTGGGGAGGGAGGTCAGCTGCATTAGTCACCTCCCCAAGTAGTTTTGTTGCATTAGAATGCACAATTACAGGGAGACTTGCAGAGTCCAACGGCCAACCCAGTGTACACGAAGATGGAGGACGCCAGGTGGTGTATACGTGTCCCTCCTCAACGAGATCACGGTGGAACACAAGTTTCTTGTGCTCTGCAAAGAGGTGCTCGCCACTTACAGGGTGCAGCAGTATGCTGGTCATTTGACTTCGCAGTTGTGTTCCAGTCTATCCCGACAATATGCAAAAACCAGCGTTTCATACCCTGCCTCGCAAGTGGGAACCTATGTATGTGCGCCGGGGGCTCGTGAACTCACCCTCCGAGCTGCACGCGACAGGTCACCTACGATTCCTTAGACCCAGTTACTGAGGAGAGAATGGTTGTGTGCAAGGATGAAGTCCCTGTCTTTAGCTGCAATGTGTGGGAGCATATGCAACACCTCCGACGTGGTCTGGAATGGCCTTTCGAGATGCAGTGGTTCATGAAAACACGAAGGTGTTCGCTCTTTACCCAAGTCTGTATGTTGGTCTTGGTGGCAAGGCAGGGAGGGTTGAATGAGACCTGCAGATGATAGAGGCCATTCGGAGGAGTCCACTGACGTTCTGCATTTTTTCGGATGTTCAGAATTTCGTCGATCTCACATCGCATCGAAATACCTTAATGTCATCTGGTTTCGCTCGCACCGCCGTGGACCTAACAATCACAACCAATGTGCATAGAAACTGAGGATGCACTGGCCAGAAGCCGCTTGAGACACCCCACATCCACTCCAGCTGATTTTGCCGAGCGTTCTTCCCTAACTGATGCCACACAGGAGTTGACGTGATGTTCTCTGCAAGCCAACAGCTCGAGAAAGAGACAATGGAAGTAACCAGTACGGAGAAAGCGTTGTTCAACGTATGGTGAGCAGTTTAGAAATGCCGGCGTCACTTGCATACCAAGCCAGTCACCTTTTGAACCCATACTTGACACCCGACATCCCTGTGGAAATTTTCTGCAGACGACGATGATAATATTTCGGTGGCTTCGGTGGCTCACCCAACAGACCTTGAAGGTGACGTCTATCGAAGGCATCACTAGAGTGGTCCTTGACGTAATCGTCCGACTCCATACCGGTTAGGCACCGTGTTTTGCACCGGCTCTTGTATCTGGTGATATCCATTTCGTTTCCAATTTACTTTCAGCCTGCTCCTGGTATAGGTATTTATTCGACTGCTGTTGTCGCAAAGTCGCCCACAGATTAGGCACCGGGGATATCATCTTGTTCAAGACGAAGTGTGGACTCCCCATATTAAACCTGCCAGCTTCACTGCTTACAGGCGTTTTGCGGGTAGTGCAATGCCGCTTCAGCATGTCGTGGAAAGCTGGATACTACCGTTGATTGAGTGGTCACGACCTATTGGCGGAGTATGACGCACCCGTCAGCACACTAGTGAAGCTTGCCTGGAGTGTCAGTAACGGAAACCACGTAACGCTGCCAAACCAGCAATCTTGCAGGTCCTTGTAGTTCGTCAAATGATCTGAACGGATGCTTCAGTGGATTTCCTATTGGGCTTACCATCAGTCGCGAATGTATGCACACAAGAATCCCCTCCCAACCGTAGGGTGTTCGTCGATCTTACAAGAGGAGCTGAGAGCAGCAGCGAACTCAAAAAATTCAAGGTTAAGTCTTCAGCTGCTAATTGCCTGCCCTCCCCGGATCCTCTAATCATAATAACTGTGGCGAGACGTCTTGTTAATGCGGCCACACACACACACACACACACACACACACACACACACACACACACACACACACACACTTGCAAATCGTCCAGTAGGGCATACCCGCGTGTACGCCCACCGAGGCTACCGTTCGATAAATTCAGCAACCCAGGAGATTGTAGGTGCCTCCGCCGCCCTCAGTAGCAAGCCTGTCCACAAGTAGCAGTACATGTATAAAAAACCGGTTTTGCAATCCTAGCCTGAACTATTAACCTCCCTCTTCATGCTGCGGATTGGTAAGGCCTGAGCACATGTTCGCCTACACAGGTTCTCTAGGTGTGCGCCTTGCTCGCTAGCGACCTCTTCAACTTGGCAATGAACCTGACCGGCAAACTAGGCTGTGCAGTCTCTGTTGATGGTGCAGCCCTGACGAACCCCTACTATAGGGGGGCGTGTGCATTATTGCAAGGATGAAACCGTCATAACACACAAGGGCAAAGCATTCTGTACATTTTCTAAATATGTTCGCTCATTTTCTATGTCGCCATCCATCCCTAGCCTGATATCAGATGACAAAGCAGGCGTTTGCACTGAAAAAACGAAATGTGGCGGATGGAAATGTAGCAGTAGCAACGAACAACTGTGCTTTTCGTGGGCCCATCATTTTGGGAAGTTGGCCGAATCGTGACTGCGTGACTACACGCCCGCGTCCTATGTCACAAGCTGCTTCCGCAAGGACGGGGGAGTGATAACCACAGAGTGACGTTCAGTACCTTGCTTGCCTGACGACAGAAGCGCACCCGGTGCTCATACTGTGGGGTGGCAGCCTGTTGCACGATCGCAATAAAAAAGTTCATGCTGGCGCCCCGATATTTTCCAGCAAACAGCTATTCTGTTCAAAGCACAAATACATTTTTATTTGGGGTACGTTTCGTGCGTGAAGCCCACGGGTGCGGCAAGAAACTCTCTAACGAGTTGCACACCCGGAGTCAACAATCCCAAACAATAAAAATCTGCAAAAGCCCCTCCGAAACCACCCTAGGGTAACCACATCAAACGAGCTTGAACATGCACAGCTTTCACTGCATTAAGCCGAACCGGCGCTGCCAAGGCGCCTGAACGTGCTTCCGGTCATTGCCTATATGCCCGCATTCCCAGCGTTGATACCGGAAGCTCCGCATGCTCAAGAGAACAGCCCCGTCCAGTAGTCCAGTGTCGGGCTACCGTGCCGTTCGTTGCACTTCGAAAACAACTCTCTAGTTTCCTTCCAACGTATTGACTGAGCTCTCCCATTAGCCGCTTGTTAGAAAATTTCTCGCCGCACCCGTGGGCTACACGCACGAAACGTACGACAGAGGAAAGGGATATTCGTTTGGAGCTTAGCTTAGGCATTGACAGGATAGTGCCAGGAAATCCTCTTAAAAGGCATAGGTGGCTGAAGCGTTCTCTTCTGAGGCACACGAAGACGGAGTTCCCTCAAACAAGAACGAGTTTACACTACCTCCGACCAGCACTCCTCTTGTCCGATGGTTCGGCTTCGCGAAATTACTTTGAGTCTCACAATTGAACAAGCAGTGGAACTAGTGTGGTTTCCTCTTCTGCCGGCCCTTCGTTAGATCCATCAGTGATAATGTCAGTCCTTCTCGGTGGGCCTTCAGTATTATGAAGGATCTCACAAAATTCCACACATTCTGTACAGGGCTGTCTGCTGCAGTACCCAAAAGTTGGCATCCAGAAGCACCCGCCTGGTCTTTCGCTGCAATGCCGTCCCCGTCAGACAACTGCTGAATCTTGCAAACTTCCTACACACATCCGTGTCAGTTTGCGTTGGGCCTTCAGTACCTCAAAATTCCACACATTCCCTAGAGAGCTGCCTGCTGCAGCTCCCGAAAGTTGACACCCAGATGCATCGACCTGGTCTTGCGCTGCGATACCGTCCCCGTTAGCCAACACTTCCACCGGGCTCACAGATGGGCTATGCGTGTTTAAACCAGTACTTCTCAGCTGTTTGTGGGTGTGCAGGTTTCAACCCTATGAGTGCAGAATCCGATCCGAAAGTTTACTCGTGCTCATCATAATACGTGAGCGCCGCTTCATTGCCTGCTGCTCGTCGACGGCTGCGGGGACTGTTCACCAGCTGGCGCGTTCCCTGGTAAAGCGTTGCTCCATTCAGTAACGTCCCGCCTATAAAAGTCCCAGGCGCGGGACCTGAACTTTGACGACCCAGGAGTACACAGTAAGGCTTCTTTCAAGCCAATCAGGAGACGCATCGGAGGCCGCTTGCCTTCCTTGTAGTAGCCTAACGCAACATTGAGGGAGAGTGCAACGTCGAGCTCCCTGTGGTGAGTCCTAGCCCGACTGTTAACATTGGGTACGTACCGTGCGTTTTGTATATGACTAACAACCCAGGGCCACCACACCTCTTTCTTAGAACTCTCTCCCAGCGTCTCAGACAAACAATAAAGTGTATCCAGGACGAGCAAAACCGTTCCAAGAGTTTCTACGGCTTGAAGAGGTCGATTACGTCGAGGAGACACCGCCATGCACCCGCTTGCGTATCCGCAGAGGCGCTCTGTATGGGCCATAAGCAATTCGTAGTCAGCCTCACTGAGCGACTCCTTGCGGAGAAGATTTCTGCACTCCCAGAGCACGGCATTAATGGAAAAGTGGAATGAACGAAGAGATGAAGCCAAAGTCTGGTTAAATTCTCTAATACGTAAACTCGTTGGTGACTTGGGGTGACGATAAAGTGGGTGGGTTTTGAGGACGTCATCCGAAGTCAGAGGATATACCCCCTTGACCCAGCCAAGGAAATTCCGAGCTACGTTGGTTGGATATGCAGATGCAGACTGAAAATCGCAAACCACAAAGGCAGCATTTCCGTGAATGAGTGATCAACATCAGCGTGAATTGACGTAGAATAAGGTCACTAGGATACTGTATCTGATAACGGTTTCTGGAATACGCTTACTGCTCTGCCAGGATGCCAAAAGCCAAGTCTCACCTGTTCGCTCGCTTGTGGCACAACTGCAGCCGAGTGTCTAGGAGGTGGATGTTGCACGGTAATAGCTGCAGAAGGGGCAGAGCTACTGACGTTTTGTTCGCTGCCGTGCCCTGGATCTCGTGCAAAAGGCGATTCAGGAGGGGAAACCTCAAAAGGCGGGCTTTCTGCTTCCTCCTGCAAAAAAATGTTTCCGCACGCCCTACCGAACAATCCTCTCAACACAATTCTGGCAAGGCAACAATCGCTACAAGGGATCACCCATTCAAAGCCAATGTTGATTCACTTCCAGAACTTACATGAAGCGGCATATTAGAACTATCCCTTGCTTGTCCACTGGCCAGAGGCGATACCTCACTTATCTGGCCGTCGGCGTCTCCAAAGAGTGAATACAAAACTTTCGTCATCGCCTCTATCGAACTCTCACCAGTATCTGGCATCACGGGAGAAGTCAACGACGGCAAAAGGACATTCTGTAACTCAGAGGGGACATCGTCGGCTGGGCCGTGGAGCCAATCATCGGTTGCCAGGCCTTCAACGCCTCGGAACGAACCCGGTTTGGTGCCGCTTAGCTTAAGTACGTCCCATGCAGAACCAGTTAATCTGGAGGTCGGCGATGTTTCCGAATCTACTTCAGCTGATGAAGTACCCCCGGCATCCTCATCTAATTTACCAACTTCACCTGAGAGTCGTGAACGTAGTGGCTCAGAGAAACCCTCACCGGCCCAAATCATCACATCTTCATCAAGGTTTCCATCGCCAGCAGGTAGAAAACTCTTCCGTCTACCTACCACCGAGTCAACAGGGTCAATGGCGCCATCGTCCACAGGGGACAACAGGTCTTCCTCTCGAAAGTTTGAGTCGGCAAGCAGGTCTTCTTCCTCTTTGGCAAGCATATAATCAATAAGCAGATCAATGTCGGGATCCAAAGGAGGTGGTGGCGACTCCCCTCCAAGGTGTAGTGAAGCAAGCAGTGCCTCCTCGCCTCCATCCAACACGGAATCAATGAAACTTTCTATATCCGGATCTAGAGACAGAGCTGCCGAAGAACTGCTAGTATCATCGTGGTCAAACAACTCAATTGCCGCATCAGGAGACAAGGGCTCAGATGATGAATCGGAGGCAGAATCCTGTTCCTGCAGTGCCTGCCTTAGGCCAGATGCAGCTAGCACAACATTCTCTCCCACTGCCAACACACTGTCGATAAGCTCATCGATTTCCGGATCCAGAGGTGGGGGTGGATCCAGAGGTGGGGCTGCATTCAGCTGAGGTTGCAGTGGATGCCGCGGCGGCAGGCTTGACTCTGTGGTGCTGAAGGGCAGGCTTGACTCCGTGGTGCTGAAGGCTTCTTCAGCCGTTCTTTTCGCACCTAACCTCAATGTGCGCGCCCTTGAACCGGATTGTGCATGGCGAAGCCTTGGTTTGCCTGTCCTCCTTGACCTTCGGCCATTTGACTGCGTGGATGCCATGGACCCCCCTTCTCTATCATTCTGAGATCCAAAGTGAGGATGCATCGGGGTGGGAGAGTCACGCAAACTTTCTGTAAGGGAAGATATGTTGCAAGTGTCTGAATCTTCGTCTATTCCATTGCCACCCTCGTCCTCCGCCATTCTCCGTCCATTAGACAGGGAAAGAATCCTCCTCCGCACGATCAAACTGCATCTAAAAACAGTGAAGATTACAGCAGATAGTGCGACAAATGCAGCAAGTGCCATAAGTCCCTTTGACGATCTTGACGACCTACATGGCCTGATCCTCCTGTACAAATCCTTATTTTGGGCTTTTCTGTCTCCCTTCGTCAGAACTTCCGACTGCACGGGGGCGATAACAGGGTAAGAAGGACCGTGCATCTCCGCAAGCGCGAAGATTAGCCGTTATGCTCACTTTCGAAGATTATTAAGAAGGATGAGCTGATTCGATTCGAATGCAACAGGAAATAATGTACAGTGGGACCAGACACGGGAATTCCAGTAGCGACAACGTGTGAAAGACCAAGGCTTTTTGGCGATCCAGCAAACCGTGTGCCGACAGAAAGGTAGTTCAGCTTCCGAGGGAAACCAACTGCTTTAGTGCTACATGAAGTTGACACTAATTCATGAAGTGACGCTTGAAGCTTTCCTTAACTTCCCACAAGTCCTGTGAGTCCCCCCTTAACTGTCGAAACGTGCCATTGCTGTGCACGGGCGGAGGGCTTCCGACAAAAACAAAGCATGAATATAAGCATGAAAATATGTTGGCAAATATTCAGAAACAGAAAAAGTGGAGTAGTTTTATGGTAGAAAGGCAGCAGTAGTCATCGAAAGTACAACACAGGAGCTGTGACCCACCGATCGGTCCAATGGCTTCTGGATCGAGCGGGCAGCTTCACACATGCACATGGCTCCCAACGAAGTTGTGCCGAAACTCCCCGGTTGAACTCGCAAATACTTCACTAAAAATTGGCTGCAACCTTGAAATATCGACTGCAAGTTAGAGAAGATGCTAAGATCCATCCTGTCCCCTGGTCGTGGTCTCAAGCCGTTAAAGACATATATCTAGAGCAATGCACAAGTTGGGGATGCAGGCTTGTGTTCGATAGATGTTGCATTCTCGAACAAGGAGTTTCCCAATTCCAATTTTTGGTTTGTGTCTAGAAAAATTTCGAGCCAACTTTCTCCAGGTTGTTTGCCCCCCCCCACCTCCATGGTCGATCTCTCTCAGGATTGCGTTTCTGGGTCTCGGCAGTGCGAGTTCCCCCCATGGTGTCTGGCCCATTCCTTCTTCTGGTCACACCATTTGCCCGTCAAAAGCTGTTAATTGCCACAGCTGAGATTACCAACCGGTTCGAACTACACGCTAGACAGAAGCTATAACACGTCGCAATGCAGGCATGCGTGGTCTGTAGTTAGTACTTAGAGAAAGGAGGCAGTGACAAGTATGCACTAAACACTTACTGGATAGCTTTGTGGTAGCCCACACCTTCATTTTCATGGAAGATTCTTGAACACCTAACTGCGAAAAAGCGTTACGGAGACCGTATCTAAAGAGCGGCTGATGACTTACCCTCCAAGTTCTCAGCTGCCTCACTGAAGCGATGCAAGGGTACGGGGATAATCTGGAGGGGAGGGTGCAGTTCATGAGTTGCAACGCACCTCGCTGCAACTGTGCAACAAGGTGCACAAGAACCTCCCGAGCACAAGCGTCTGCAAGCCCCCTCTGCTGCTTGCTTTTATTATATATGGAACTAGCAAATACCAAGTGGATCTAGGTGTCCAGGGTCCAGGCAAGTAGGAGCGCATTTACAACATTAGACAGGCCATGCAAAGCTGCTGATAACGCTTGTGGCGCAGCCTTGAATTTGAGCCAGAATGCAATCGAAGGCTTTGCGCTAGACAATACACTTACAGAGCCGTCGTTGCTCGGTAATTGGTGAATAAAATACTAAATCCTGAACCCTTGTATACTCGACAGTACAACACACCTGTTCTGTCGCATCAATGCATATACACAAGTGCCGCGTATGCACGCCAAACAAGGGGTTAATTTTGCCATTTATCGCTTGCAAACGCACCCCGGGACTGCATCGGAAGCGCCATTATGTCTTCACGCGCCGACACTAAACAGTCTGCGCATGTCAATATTTGCAATTGTTGCCTCTTATCGTTCCCCGTTTTGGCCACAGCCAAGCATCCTTTGTGGCTTGCTGATCTGCCTATTTGCTTGCTTCCGCCAGCACGTGTTAGACCTCTCCAGTAAAAGCAGACGAAATACAGAAGGGCACTCCAGTAGAAGTAACACAAATAAGTGAAAACGGCGGAATCAAAACGCAGGTACAATCGGGAAGGCCAACAGAGAGCGGGAGAAAAAAAGATAGCAGAGAGGAAGACGCCGACAGCACAACCACGTGTTGTGCTCGCAACGACGTAGTGTCAAACAGAAGAGAAGAACACAAATAGAAACAGGGTTATCAGCCGTTCGACTCGTGGCGCAAACCGAAAATAGTTTAACAATGCAGGGCTCAGGAGAGGCCTCACCGCCTCCCCTACTGCTACTGCTGCTGTTGCTACAGCACGTGGAGCTCCAACTGCTGCGGCTATCGTTGCTAACGGTGGCGCCGCCGGTGTAAGCTGCCGAAGGTGCTTTGAGTAGGGTCAGATGGGACACGAACCTGCAGACCCAACACATTCGCGAACAGAAACGCAAGATGCAATGCGGTGTCAGCAACAGCAACACTCAACAGGCAGAGAACGCATAGATCGTCGGCATCCTATGGCAAAGGAGAGGCAGCAGTTAAGGTAGCAGCAACAGCAGCAGAGCCCACCGCCAAAGCTAAGGAAATCATCCGTCTCAGCCTGCCTATACTCCTCTACTAAGCTCAAGACGTGCTCCCTACTCAAGCAGCCGCAGCAGCAGCACGCAACAACACAAGCGGCAACAGAAATTAGGAAAGCTTTTGTAACAGCACTAACAAGCCTTCACAGACAGCAAAAGCAGCAGTAGCACCACGGGTCCTGTTTGCGCACTTGGAATCTTCCATCTCTGAAAAGTCTCCAAGACCGTCAGGGCTGCTAAACATGGGCTGCCGTCTGCAGAAACACAAGTGGACAAAAGCTAATTGCTAGACTAGCTGCGGCTGCGGCGCCTGCTGGAGTGCGGCTTACAACACAAGGAGCGCTGGCACATGAGCACCGGCAACGGCAACAGAAAGCTGCAGCAGCAACAGGAAACAAACGAAAACTCAGTTACTTGTAATTGTCAAGGAAGGCTTTGCGCTTGAAGAGACGGTCGTACTGAACGACACATCGCTCGAATAGCTGCAACAACAGCAGCAGCAGAAGCAGGACGTGACACACAGGCACAAGCCACATAATACAGATCATCTTCCAAAGGGAACAATAGTGGCATCCTCATCAGCAGCAGCAGGGGCATCGGCAGGAGCCCGGGCCGTACACTTGTGATAGCTGTGTGATTCGCAAGCATCAGGCCGGCACATTTGTGCTTTTGTGGATTGAAGGGAGATGCCCGCGCCAAAACAACTTGCGGGGAGGCGGGGGCCCAGCGAATGAATTGCAGCAACTGCCGTTCACGGATACGCTGCAGACTCTTATGAACCTGTACAGCAAACGACAAAGCCAAACCCAGCACAGCGGCAACAGCTGCAGCAACTCGACTATCCGTCGGGCCGCATCACCAGAATCTGGTCCACCTCTAATCGGTTTCTGTAGACAGGGCGCATTCCCCTAGCCCATAAGACGGCAAACGGCAGCAATACAACTCGCAGAAGCAGGAACAGCAACAATAGCAGCACCTGCATTGGGTCTGCCTCGCCGCGAATGACGTTTAAGAGCGACATGTACAGGCCGCGTCGGAGGGACGTGGAGACCTGGAGGCGCAGCAGCAGTATCCAGAAGACAGCATCTGCTACACTGCAGCACGACGCAAGAAGACGGTACGCCAAAGACACTCATGCATGTGCGTTTATACATTGACATGCAATTGCATGCGGGTGTGAGAGTGGATGCATGCGTGAAGTAGTATGTACTTGCAACTGTACGGTCAACGGTTCAGGCTGCAGTTCGTCCAGACAGGGTGTACATATTGACAGGCGAACAGCTCCCTCGGATTTAGGGTTTAGGGTTGTGGGGTCCAAAGCACCATGATATTTTTCGATTGCGTGAGGCGGCGCATAATATCGATGACGGTTGTCTTTTGTACTGCAGAAACGCAGCGGTCCAGCGTGATTGGGGTGTATCCGCACATCAAGTAATGACAGCGAGGCACGGGGACGAGACACGACAGCAGAGAGAGAAGACTTGACGACAAAGAAGATGGGTAGCGCAGAGTTGCCGTGCATGCAGCCATCACGGTGGAGATCTGCAGAGGCAGAACACCAAAGACAGGGAAAAGGCACCAAAAGCGACACATTGCTCGAATAGCTGAAACAGCAGCAGCAGCGCGTGGCACCCCGACAGGGAACAATAAAAGAAAAAGCCAAGAAAAGGCAACGTCTCGCGTTCAGTAAAGAACAGAAAGGAACGAGTAAACGACGAGACAGCATCAGAAACAACAAAGCGAGCTGGATAATTGATGCTCCTGTGAGTGCCGGCCGACGGAAGATTTCTAGGATTTAGGGTTGAACGTTTCTAGGCTTTAGGGTTTGCTTGCGGACGAGGGCATTTGTCTGCTGGAAACTAGGGTTTGGGAGGCGCAGCCTCTCAGTCGCCACTCGATGGACTGCATGATTATCTAAGACGACGACAGCATCCGCTTGAAGGCAAAGACGTTTTAAAGTTAAGACAGAATTGTAAGGCTGGACAACCACGTCGCTCGCCGCATCCCCTAAAACAGGAAACACCGAAAATGCCTGCACCAGCTTCGATCCGTACCGATCTCCCAGTAACTCCAGCAAATAAGATCCCATGCCGGATCCCGTGCCTCCCGCCTGCAGGAAAGCAGACACAAGAAACCTGCAAAAACCCCTGAACAATAAACCCTAAACAACCTGCACAAAACGCCGGCCAAACCCTAAACCCTATAAACAACACCCTAAACAATCTGAAATACAACCGGAAACCGAAACAAACTGCAACAAACCGAAGAACCTAAACAACCTACACAAAACACCCGCAAAACCCGGAGGCCTAAGCACACTCTAACAAGCCCTAAACCCTCACAATGGAGTGGCAGAGGACAAAACCCTCGAGGCTTTCGCTGCCGTCCGCCTCTCTGTCAATCATCTCCAACAACTCCTCTTCTACTTTTGCTGCCTGCGCATAGCCGCTCCCCCAGTTGTTCCCAGCGCCTGCACAGCCCCCAAAAATGCAAACCCTGAACCTTACACCTTTCACCTCAAACCCCAACAAATGTGGACCTCAATCCTAAACCCTCACGTTAAACCGGCACGAAGGAGAGGCACCCTACACCCTAATCCCTTTAAACCCCGATCTGCTGGCTCTGTTCTTTTTAGTTTATTGGACTGTTGCAATGCACGCGTTTGTGTCTGCTGCTTTCCTGCACCGCTGCTGCAGGTAGGAGGGGAACTCAAGTTAAGATGTCTCTGGTGCTGTCCGCTATTGTGCCGCTGCAGCTGTCTGCTTATATCTCCGGTATATCTACATCCTGCTCTTTAATTGTTCCTTTCTCTCTTTCCCCCTCTCCTTGCATGCACTCCCTGGCTGTCCCATTTGCTTACCTCCCCCGTCTTTAGAAACAAAGAAATTCTCAGGGTTGTAAAGATGGCGATATTCAGAAGTCTGCAACACACCAACAAGGAGCAACCAGCAGCACCTTCAGTCGCAGCAGCAGCAGCACAGCAGTGTTAGCACCCCATCAGCAGCAGCAAATCCGCAAGAAAAGCATAATCAGAAGCAGATGTGAAGCATCAGCAGATCTGCATGAGGGCCAGCTTTGCACCAGCAGTAGCAGATATGCAACAACAGCAGATGTGTAGCAGCAGCAGCAGCAGGTGACCTGAATTGTGTTAATAACACGGGGTTCAAGGTCAAAGAGAAGAGCACGAGGAATATAATGCTCATCATCTGCTTGATAAAAGAAAACATCTTTGCGGTCTTCTGCTGTCTGTGCACCTGGAAGCAGTAAACCCTCCTGCAAGCAACACAAACCCTAAACCCTAAACCCTAAACTCCAAACCCTTATTAACCAGATACCCTTTAGAACTAACCTAAACCCTAAACAAGAAAAACAAACAAGCAACTGCAACACTGAAGCTGCACAACGAACTGCAGCACTGCAGCAGCACAATGAAATGCAGCGGCAGCAGCACAACAACGATCTGCAGCAGCAGCAGCACAACGAATTGCAGCAGATAAAAGGATACTAAAAACAGAAGGTTAAAGGGAGAAACGGATAATAAAATAAATAAATAATTAATTAGTTAAGAACAGAAGAGAAAAAAAAAATACCTGATTAATTCCATGCTCAGCACAAAGCTGTTTCCAGAATTCCATTCCAATTTGATTGCCACATTGGCCAACTTGAATTGTAATTAATTCTCGTGGCATTTTCCTGCTGCTGCAGCCGGTGCTGCTCTGCTGCTGCTACTGCTGCTGCGCTTCGGATGTGCGGCAGCAGCTGCTCTGCTGCGTAGGTGCTGCAGTTCCGGTGTCGATGTTGCTCTGCTGCTGCTGCGACTCTGCTTCTCAACTTTTCCTTTGCTGCTGGCACAATGTGGCTCTGCTGTGGATCCGCTGTTCCGGTGCAGCGGCTCTGCTGCTGCTGCGGATATACCGGTTCTATTAAGGTGCAGCCGCTGCTATTGCTGCTGCTGCCGGCATGCAGCTGTGGTGGTTTTGCTCCTGCTGCAGGTATACAGCCGCTGCTGTGCTGCTGCTGCGGCTCCTCCTACCTGATAAGATCCGCTCCTGCCTCTTTGGCAGTTTGTGTTGCACCGTTCGTTATTAATGCTGCTGCTGTTGCTGCAGCAGCAGCAGCAAAGGAAGGGGTACCGCCACTCCACGCGCCGCTGTTGAGGCTTCTTCCGACCTTCCCTTATCCTGGAATGTTGTGCTGGTGTTGCTGCTGCTGCAGTTGCCTTTGTTGGATTTGCTGCTGGTCTTTTTGCTGCAGCAAGAGGAACTCACGTTGTGTACTATATGGAGGGCAGATGGTCCCCCGTGTCTGTGGGGCCCCACGACAGCTGCTGCTATATTATCAAACAGGTAGTGCATAAAATTGACTTCTTAGGATAAGGAGGAGGTGCAGCAACAGTAGTAGTAGTAGCTATTCTGCTGCCGGCGCTGCAGTACACAGTGCATGCAGATGGTTATTCCCTGCGGGTCGTAGTAGCGCCACAGGAATCTCTATGCTTGAAATACTTTATTTTTGCGGGTAAAAACAACAAAAAAAGAATAAAATTGAAAAATACTTGAATCTATCGCATAAAGTTTCTAACAAACCGCTAGTCTACTAGACAGCCGACAGGGCTGGGAGGGGGTGTTATTTTTTCGGGGTCGGTGGGGGAGAGTGGTTGATTTTCTTCCTTTGCTTTGTTCCTACATTGTATTAAATTCATTTTAATTTAATTAAATAAGTAACTATATTTTTAATTCTTTTTTAAATAGGCAAAAAACACGCTCGAAGCGGCTGTGTCGCCATTCCTGCTGCTGCTGGCTGTTGCTTGTCGTATTAACACCTTGTCTCCCTTTTCTTGTATATGTTTTATTATAGGAAATAAGTTGTTATTTTTATTTTATTCTTTTTAAGTACAGTTAATAGAAGCAAGAAGGCAACAATTTGTTAGATCTAAACCCCTGACTTTATGCATTATAGGGACTCTGCTACTCTATCCCATCCTTAGCATTGAGAGTACCCAAGAAGGTAGCAGCAGGAGCAGCAGCAGTTGCTGCTGCTGCAGCACCAAGAAGTACTGCTGCAACATACATGACATGAGACAGCCAGTAACTGTTCTATCCTCAGCATCAGGCACTATATAGGTGATAGGCAGAGTACACACAATGATGTCGACCGCAACAGCAGCAGCAGCAGCAGCAGCTGCTGCTGCTGCTGCTGTTGCTGCTGCTGCTGTTGCTGCTGCTGCTGCTGATGTCACTACAACTGGTTTACGGCTTATGGCTGTAATGTTTATAACCTTAAAATAAGATTTGCTGCTAATCTTCCTAGAACCTCCAAAAAGCAGTAGCAGCAACGGTTTGCGGATTTTACGTCAATAGACGTGCTGCTGCAGCTGCTGCTCCCGCCTCAGCTGCTGCCGCTGTAGAGTGCGACTTTGCTGCAACGCGACCTGCTGCTGTTGCAGCACAGACGCTGCTGCTGCTGCTGCTGCTGCTGCGGCCTTCAAATGCGCAGCGAAGATATGTGGAAGAGAGCCTCTTGGTTGGCCTTCTCCCGCTGCAGCAAAACTCACAAGCCAGCATCCCTTACAACCATAAGCAACAGCACCAGCAACAGCACCAACAGTAACAGCAGCAACAACAGCAGCTGCTGGTGCAGCAGCAACACTTCCTCACCAGATCTTGAGGGGTTAGCCTGGATGTTAGCGCCCCTAAGACTTTTCCCTCAAGCTTTTGCTCCTCTTGCGGGCTATACTGCTGCAGCAGCAAATCTATTTGCTGCTGCAGCAGCAGCAGCAAACCCCGCACCTTCTGCAGCTCTGCTGCTTCTTGCCGCTCTACACTCGGATACAAACTCGCCTGTATACACAACAAAATACAAACCCTAAAACCTAAACACTATAAACCATAAACCCTAAACCCTCAACGTATAAACCTAAACCCTAAACACTATAAACCATAAACCCTAAACCCTAAACCTTCAACTCAAACACTAAACCCTAAAAGGAAAACATTAACTGCTTACAGGGAGAAAGGCATCAACGAATCCGCATGCAACGTCGAGCAGCACGGGAAGAGGTAGCCGCTGCTCCTCTTCCTGCTCTTCCTGCTCTTGCTGCAGCAGCGCCTGCTGCTGCTGCAGCTCCTGCTGCAGGGCCTGTAGCTCCACTTGCTGCTCCGACTCCAGAGCGTCGCAGTGTTGGTGCTGCAGCCACACAACCAGCTGCCTAAGTACCTGCACCACAACATCCTGCTGCTGCTGCTGCTGCTGCTGTATTTGCAGCTGCAGCAAGCTTCCCGCCAGCACGGAGGCCCTGAAGTGCTGCGCATGCTGCAGCAGCACCCGCAGCAGCTGGGGTCTCCACTGCAGCAGCAACGCGGCGTCCTCTTCCTACGGATAAAAGACAAATACGACTGACAAACCAGTCTCATGCACCAAGCAGCAGCAGCAGCAATAGAAGGTAACAGCAGCAGCAGCAACAGCTGTGTGCTTACCCGCATGGCCGGGCAGCAAAAACTGCATGCAGCAGCAACATGGAAGTTGCATTGAATTATTAGCTGCAGCAATGCGCGGTGTGGGGTCAAGATCTGCTTGTGCAGCAGCAAACATATAGTCTCTTCTGCAGCAACAGCAGCAGCAATCCAATTACAAGTGTTGCGCCAGAGGCAGCACTACCAGCAACAACAGCGCCAGCCTCTAGGGGAATAACTAGCAGCAGCAGCAGCAGCAAAAGTAGACGCAGGCCTAGGGGCAGGAGCAGCAGCAACAGCAGCAGCAACAGTACCAGCTTGGCGTTTTGCTTCTTGCGACGTTAAGAACGGAGCAGCAATTTGCTGCAGCAAATCTGCACTAACACCGGAAGACGGCAGCAGCAGCAGCTGCCCAGCAAGCTTCTGCTGCTCCTTGCTGAGGGACTGCAGTTGCTGCTGCAAAAGCTGCTGCTGCACCTCCAAGGCAGCACCCCCGACCACGCCTGCTGCCGCAAAGCTACCTGAAGACAGACGCAGCAGCAGCAGCAGGAGCAAAGGCTGCAAACCACCAGCAGCGAGAAAACATACAAATAGAGCAGCAGCAGCAGCAGCAGCAGCACCAGTAGCAGCAGCGGCAGCAAAATGATTTACCAACTGCTGCAGCTACAGATGGTGACTGTGCGTAGCAGCGAGTAAGAAATGTTTTTCCTTCGCACTCCCACAACATCATTAGAGGCTGCTGGCGCTGCTGCTGCTGCTGCTGCTGCACTGATGGCATACAAAGAGCACGAACCTGAAGAGCAGCAACAGCAACAACAACAGCAGCAGCAGCAACAGCAGCCGCAAGTGAGGGAAGCAATACAGTGTATGCGCAACACGGACGACCCCACAAACAAATGTCCAACGTGGCAGCTGCTACTAGCTCTCCTGTTGCTGCTACTGTTGCTGCTGCTGCTGCTGCTGCTTACCGAGTGTACCGCTGAAGAAGCGAGGTTTGTGGTGTACGTACACCCCAGAGGAGTTAGCCAGCGCAAATCCCTCAGCAGAAAGGTGCAGCAGCACCCAGACCCTACTGCCTCCCCATTTGCTGCTGCTGTTGCTGTTGTTGCTGCTGCTGCTGCACACCACTCCACGCAGCACCTTGGTGACAGCATGATAGTGCCACCGGCTGCTGCTGCTGTTGCTGCTGCACCTGCTGCAGCAGCGGCATTTGTAGGCAGCAAACGCCTGCTGCGCTTCACGCAGCGCAGACACTCCTTCGGCGTGCTGGTGACAGCAAAGACCTGCAGCAGCAGCAGCAGCAGCAGAAACAGCAGCAGGAAATGATGCGCCGGTTATATATCCCTCTAGCCTGCAGCATCAACTGCAGCAAATAAAGAAGTAGCAGCAGCAGCAGCAGCAGCAACGAACGACGGGATAAACCTACAAGGAGCTCGCCCTCGGCAGAGTCCACCACCAGCACGGGCTGCGGTGCAGCAGCAGGAGCTGCTGCTGCTGTTGCTGCTGTTTGTGAAGCAGCTGGCGGAACACAGCTAATGCAACGGGGTGTCTGCCCACCCAGCTCTAATTGTTGCAGCACGCCCTCCTCTGTGCTGCTGCTGCTGCTGCTGCCGTTTGCTGCTGCTTCCTGCAGCCTCAAGAAGGACCAAAACACGCCCGCATCTTCTGCTGCAGCAGCAAGCAGCACACGGGGCCATTCTGCTTCTGCGTCTGCTGCTGCTGCTGTTGCTGCTGCTGTTGCTGCTGAAGGCAGCAGCGTTGCTTCTACATGCATGGAAGCAGCAGCAGCTGCTGCTGCAGGCGGCAGCAACAAGCGAGTTGTCTGCAGCACGTCGAGTGTATAGGCATCCATTAATGTACACAACAGAGAAGGCTGCTTCTTGCCGCTGCTGCTGTTGCTGCTGCTGCTCCCCTTCTTTGGCAGCAGCAAGCTAACAGCCAAGACAGCATCCCTGTATCGTTCGCCCTCCTTTTCTTCTTCCTCTTCTTCTTCCTCCTGCTCCTGCTGCTGTTCCTGCTGCACTCGCAGCGGCAGAAGCAGCAGCAGACGACCTCCCACCTGCAGACAAAAGCAGCAGCGCCAGCAGTAGCAGCAGCAACGCCCACTCCATGTCCGTGCTGTTGCTGCTGTTGCTGCTGCTGTTGCCGTTGCTGCTGCTGCTGCTGCTGGGACATACCTCGGCACGAGCAGCAATCTTGAGCGCTGCAGTTGGTGCAGTGGGCAGCGACAAAGCAGCCTGTTTGCTGCTGCTGCTGCTGCTGCGTTGTTTGAGTGCGACAACTTCGCCTGCTGCTGCACCTGCCACTACGAAGGTAGTAGTAGCAGCAGCAGCAGCAGCAGAACCTGTTGCTGCTGGTACGAAGCAGCAGCCACAGTTGGGCTGTACGTCCACAGCATCTGGCAGAGTATAGGTCTCCAATGTTAGGCTGTTAGAGACCTATAAACAACAGCAGCAGCAGCAGCAAAATGCATGCATGCAAATACCACACGCAGCAGCAGCAGCCACGAAGAGCAAAACTTTGCCGTTTGTGGATTGCTGAATCGGCAGCAGCAACAAAAGCAGCGACAGCAGCGGACAGAGCAGCAGAAGCAAAAACAACAGAAGTAGCGGCAACAGCAGCAACAGCAGCAGCAGCAGCAACTGCAGCAAAACATACAGCAATCTTGGAGATTGTGCCGTCAGACTTCCATAGATATTCTGCTGCCGCGACAAGAGACCCATCGCGGCAGCAAGACAGTAGACGAGCAGCAGCAGCAGATCTGCTGCTGCTGCTGCTGCTGCTCGATTCAACAGCTGCTACGCAGAAGGCAGCCACAGACTGTGCATTTGGTTGCGCTGCTGCTGCAGTCGACCCAGCAGCAGCAGCAGCAGCAGCAGCAGCAGGAGCAGCAGCAGATTTGCTGCGGTGTTTCTTGGGGGACTTCGTGGCTTCCCCGGCGCTGCTCATCCCCATGACTGTGCTGCTACTGCTGCTGCTGCTGCTGCTGTTACTGTTAGGGCTGCTCCTGCTGCTGCTGCTACACTTGCTCCTTCTTAGCGTACTGCTCCAACCCTTCGGCGCAGCTAATGCTTCTGCTGCTCCTGCTGCTGATAGTAAGAAGGAGTAGATGACTGGCGAAGGCGCTTTATTCCCGGAAGGATCTGCCTTCTTCAGCTGGGGCTGCTGCTGCTGCTGCTGCTGCTGCAGCCGCTGCTGCTGCTGCAAGGGGTATATACAGGTACCTATATTCCCCCTCTTGTATGCTTCTAAAGATAAAAAAGAATTATTTTATTCTCCATCTAAAGGAATGATAGCCAGCAGCCAGCTGAACTCCGCCCCACACTTGCAGCAGCAGCAGCAGCAGCAACAGCAGCATCAGCAAGAGCAGCAGGATCGGGGCTGCATGCAAAATTCAACTTGCACATATAATTATAATTTTAATGAAATCTTTTCTGTTTATTCATTAAAAAATTCATGCATGTTTAGGGGCTGCTGCATCGCTTAGCGATAGCAGCAGCAGCAGCAGCAGCAGCAGCAGCCACTGCTGCTGCTGCTGCTGTATAGACTGAGTGAAATAACGACTGAACGTTAAGTCTTTGTTATTAATGTTAGCCACACAGTTGCTAGCAGTCGATGCTGCAGCAGCAGCAGCTGCTGCTGCTTGTTTTGCTGCTGCTTCGTCTTATACAGCTGCACACTCATGCCTTCCCACCGGCAGACAGCTAGCTCGGGGGGTCAAAACAGCAACAGCAGCAGCAACAGCAGCAGCAACAGCCGCATCAACAGCAGCAACAACAGCAGCAACAGCAGCAGCAGGAGTGGCAGCAGCAGCCCCTGCAACAGCAACAGAAGTTTGTAGGCCTCTGAGGCCTGTCTTGTTGCAGCAGCTCGTTCTGCCTTCAGCAGCAGCAGCAAGACTTCGGCAGCGGCAACTGCCTTGTGCAGCAGCAGCAGCAGCAGCAGCAGCAGCCCCATGTGCTCCTTCTCAGGTATTATTACAGCAAAGGGCGACTTTCTGTGCTGCAGCAGTGCGTCTCAAAACGGATAGCAGCAGCACCAGCAGCAGCCAAAGCAGCAGCAACGTCAGCAGCAAGGGCAAGAACAGCAGCAGCAGCAACAACAGCAGCAACAGCAGCACCAGCAGCAACAGCAGCAGCAGCAGCAACAACAGCAACAACAGCAACAGCAGCGAAATATTTGTATCCGAGCTTGAGCTGCAGCAGCAGAGACAGGTCGTCCACTTTAACGTCACGAAGACCTGCCCTGCATGCAATGTTAGTTTGCTGCTGCTGCTGCTGCTGCAGTTGCTGCTGCTGCGTCTGCTGCTTCTCTTGCTGGTTCTGCTGCAGCAGCAGCTGTTGCTGTTGCTGCTGCTGCTGCTACCATATCTCTTCTTCAGCTATCGTTATTTGCGCCTTTGCTAGGTCTTCCCCCTCCCATTGATGTATTGTTCTTGTTGCTGCTGTTGCTGTTGCTGCTGCTGCTGCTGCTGCTGCAGAAGACTGTATCTCGAGGACAAGTAGAATACCTGCCGGTTGCATGCGCTGCTGCTTGGCGTTTCTTAATGGGCTATTCTGTCAGCAGCAGGAAATGCGGACTCATCGGGTAATCTGCTGCTGCTGCTGCTGCTGCTGCTGCTGTTGCTGCTGCGTGACTGTGGCTTCTCGGCATGCGGTACTACCTGCCTTTGGTGTCTCTGGTTGGCTGTTGCTGCGCTGCTGCTGCTGGTGGTGGTCCAGCTGCTGCTGCTTGTTGCCTCGTGTAGGTACTGCAACTGCTTCTGCATCGGCTGTTGTTGTTTCTGCTGCTGCATCTGCTGTTGTTGTTTCTGCTGCTGCTGCAGGCACATGCATGTGCTGCGGTACGCAGACCTGCGGCTGGAGCAGCAGCAGCAGCTTGATGCCAATGAACGCATGCAGCAAAAAGCTGCTGCAACAGCAGCATACAAGCAACAGCTAGAGGCACAAGAACGCTAGCAATCCCCTTTTCTGTCTGCTGCTGCTGCTGCTGCTTTCCGAAGGTCATTGGCAGTGAGAATGCTGCAGCAGCAGGTGCAGCACAAGCAGCAGCCGTAAAAAGAGCAGCAGTTGCAGCAACAGATGCAGCTGCAGCAATGGCGGCGAGAACAGCAGCAGCAGCAAGAGCAGCAGCTGCACTAGAGCTAGAAGTAAATTAAAAATTTGTATAGGTTAGTTTGCTGCTGCGGCGGAGCTGCTGCTGCAGCAAAGCTGCAATTGCCTCTCTAATGGGCTAAGCAGCAGCAGCAGCAGCGGCAGCAGCAGCAGCAGCGGCAGCAGCGGCGTTTTTGCCGTGTTGCGGGAGCTGCTGCTGTTGCTGCAGCTAACGAACTTTGGGTGTACAGACACTTCGCATTTAACTGTCTAAGCCTCTGGGCCACACCAACTACCTGTAGGTTGCTGCTGCTGCTGCTGCTGCTGCTGCTGCTGCAGTAACTGCAGCAACTGCAGCAAATGCTGCAGGTTTTGCACCACGCTGTGTACAGCACCAGCACCACCACCATCACCAGCAGCACCAGTTGCTGCTGCTGCTGCTGCTGCTGCTGCTGCTGTATTATGTTTTAACAAATAAGAGAGCATAAAGAAATCTCTGTGTATATTCATGAATAAATGTATTAAATAAAGGATTATATAAATAACCAACTGCATGCAGTTGCTGCAGCCCCACTGCAGCAGCCCATCGTCGTACTTCTTCAGGGGTAACAAAGTTACTCCATGTATGTGTACCCTGATAGTAACGGCAGCAGCAACAGCAGCAGCAGCAGCAACAACAACAGCAGCAGCAACAGCAGCAGAAGCGAAGGATACGCATTCACGGCAAGTATACAGGTCATAACTACCTAGCTAACCATCTACCTAGCTAGGTAGCTAGCTAGGTAGCTAGCTAGGTAGCTAGCTAGCTACGTAGCTAGTTAGCTAGCTATTTAACCAGCTAACCATGTAACTAGCTAGCTGTGTAACTAGCTGACTGTGTAGGGTGACTAGCTAGCTAGCTAGCTAGCTAGTCGACTAGCTAGCTAGCTAGCTAGCTACCTGCGCAGCTACCCAGCTAGCTTGCTAGATAGCTAGCTAGCTAGCTAGCTAGCTAGGTAATTATTTACCTTAGGTACAAGATTGAGTAAATGCTCAGCAATAAGAATAGAGGCGAAGTAATTCTCAATAGTTTTATTTAATGAGGTAAGCAGCAGCAAACCTCCTTGCTGCAGTCTAGCAGCAGCAGCAGCAACAGCAGCAAATTTCTCTTTTTCTCCCCATATATGTTCTATTACCTCAGATAATGTTACTACATGATAGTAACCTAACTCCCACCTGTACAGACACCCCACACACACTCCCTGCTGCTGCTGCTGCTGCTGCTGCTGTTGCAGCTGCTGCTGCAGTTGCTGCAGATGCTGCTGTAGATGTAACAGCGAATGATGATAATCATGGTGCAGCACCTGGCCTGCAGCACCTGGTGCAGCACCAGCAGCTGTAGCAGCAACAGTAAGAGCAGCAGCAACATCAGCAGCAGGAGAAGCAGCAACAGCAGCAACAACAGCAGCACTAACAGCAGCAGCAGCAGCAGCAGCAACTCACTCCTGTGGGGGAGAGGATGCATCTGCTACCATGTATCGCAGTCGGTCACTCAGGTCAGGGAGGCCTTGTGCAGCTGCAGCACAAACAGCAGCAGCAGCAGCAGCAGCAGGACCGGCTGCAGCAACAGGTAAAACTGCAGTACTAAGAAAAGCAACAACAGCAGAAGCAACAACAGCAGCAGCAGCAGGAGCCTACCTCGTTGCTGCTGTCTTCTTTCTGCTGCAGCAAGAAGATGCTTGTTGCAGTCAATAGCAGTAACAGCAGCACCAGCAGCAGCAAGTGCTTCGCTAAGTAGTCCTCCTCCGCACCCTATATCTGCTATACGGACACCTAATAGAGGAAGCTGCTGCTGCTGCTGCTGCTGCTGCTGTTGCTGCTGTTGCTGCTGCTGGGCGTTGGAACGGAGTATCTGCTGATATATAGGAAGGGTCTGCAGCTGCTGCAGCAGCAAAGACACCCTAACAGGTGTATATGCATGCAGTGCTGCAGCAGGACCCTTAGGGTCCCACCAGCTGTCTGCTTGAGCAGCAAATGCTTCCATCTCCTGCTGCTGCTGCTGCTGCTCCCAATAACTTTTGCTGCTGCTGCTGTAGCTGCTGTTGCTGTTGTTGTTGCTGTTGTTGTTGTTGTGGCTGTTGTTGATGCCATCGCTTGGCTTGTTGCTGTTGTTGCTGCTGTTGTTGCTGCTGCTGCTACTATTTTTGTTGTTGTTGTTGCTGCTGCTGTGGCGCAGCTGGACTCCACTACGGATAAAGTTGGATTCTAGCAGCCGCAGGCAGTAGCTGCTGCTGCTGAGGCTGGTGATGATGCTGCTGCTGCTAATGCTGCTGTTGCTAATGCTGCTGTTGCTGCTATTACTGCTGCTGCTAGTACTTCTTCTGCTATTGCTGCTGCAGTTAATGCTGCTGCTGCTCCCGTTGTTGTTGATGCTGCTGCCCCTGCATGCTCTCCAGCTGTGTGTGTGGCAGTTAAAGGCGCCATCCAGGGCCGCATGATTAGCAGCAATAGCAGCAGGTGTGGCCGTTGCTGCTGCTGTTGCTGCTGCTGCAGCAGCAAGAGTAGCGCTGCCGCCAGCAGTTGTTAGATAGCGCGTAGGAATTAACATCCTTCACCTATCACTTAATCTAAGTAAGTTAATTCATTGTTTATAACTAGCAAATAAGGGTTTTGTTAGGGTTTAGGGTTTAGGGTTTAGTGTGTAGGGTTTAGGGTTTAGGGTTTAGTGTTTAGGGTTTAGGGTTTAGGGTTTAGCGTTTTCGGCTGCGGCGAATTGGGGCTGCAGCGGCGGCAGACTTGCAGCAGCAAATAAGGTAAAAAATTAAATGTTTTATTCTTTATTATTTTATTTATATTTTTATTTAATTTTACAGGGAAAAGAGCAGCAGAAGGAGCACACAACGACCTT